TCCCTCCCGGCCGGTCCCTTCCCCTCCCCCTCCTGCCTGCCCACAGGCAAGTGTGTCTGTTTTTTTTGGGGGGGGGGAGGGTCTACCTGGTAACCCTACATGGGGCAGTTGCACCTTCTCAGGCCATAGTTTTAAAAGGCGATGGTTTTGCATAAGTGGGGGTGGGGAAACTGCATTCACCTCCCCCCTCCATACGTCTCAGGAAATTCAGTTCACATGTAGTGTCCTGAAAGTTCTTTGATTGCGACATTATTCAGTGTAGTTCTTTGATCATCCCGGCCCACAATAATTCGTAGCCTTTGCAAGAATTCCAAAGACACCTTAACTTAATTCAGTAAGGGGTTTCAGGGATACTGCAGGAAATTGCCACATCTGTGTCCATGCTCTTTTTACCTTACGCAAGAGGAATATTTTTCCGTCATTGGGAAAGGACAGTCGAGTGAGTAGAGTATTGACCTTTTAAGGAACCCAGAGATCGCATGTTAATAGGTACTAAATTAATGCTGGCAGTAGAAGTCTGTTCTGTTCCCAGCTCTGCCTCAGACTTGATGTGCGACCTCGGGCAAATCACTGAATTTATGCCAGAATGTGACAAATTTGTATTGAAAATCTAAAGCAGTTAATAGAGACTTCAGTGTAAAAGCCAAATAGCGGGGTATGTCCATAGACTGGGCCAGTTTTAGGATTTATGGGGCCTTACACAGTACACAGCCAACCTGGGGTTGGAAAACATCTGTTAACTGGCTTCGTTACCGCTAAGCATGTAAAAATCTTGTTTAATTGGTTAGCCAGTTATGTTTAATGTTTAACCAGTTAACTGATTGAAGTGGGAGGTGGGTGGCAGGCCCCCACCAGTTAATGGGATCCAGTTATTGGTTAACCATTCACATCCCTAATGATCACTTGAACGGCTCTTTCACAGGTTCAGTGTTCTGCTTTCACTTTTAAGTTAACTAGATCCTCTCTAAAAACAGCAGGAGGGCCTAGCCCTGAGGCCACCTTGGCCCCAGCTCTCTCCCTGCCCCCTGGCCAGCCCTGGCTCTCCACCCCACCCTGCTGCTGGGCAGGGCTAAAACTATGCCAGCCCGGGCTATCCCCACTTGTCCCTGGCATTTACCCACCACTGGGCAGGGCCAAGGCCGTGCCAGACCGGGCTCCTCCCTCACCTCCTCCCAGCAACTGGGAAGGGCTGAGGCCACGCCAGCCCCAGCTCTACGCCCTCCCAGCCCCCTGCGCCAGCCTCAGCTCTCTCCCCACAGCTGGCAAGAGGAGGGGGACTGGGCTGAGGGACCGCCAGGCTCAGCTCTCCCCTGGCTTCCTAGAGGGGCTGTGGCGGGCCTGTGCCAAGGCTGCCAGGGGAGCAGGCCAGGCTGAGGTTGCAGCTTTCCCCGACTGCTGGGAAGGGCCAGGCCAGGGCCATGCCAAGGGTGTGCCAGCCCCGGTCTCTCCCTTCTCTTCTCTTTTCCCCCCTCCCCACCACCGTGGAGGGCTGGGCTGAGGCCACAGGCAGCCCCAGCTCTCCATGTGGGCCCTGGCAGACAGAGACAATCTGCTCCTCTGAGGAAGTGGGTTTTGCCCAGAAAGCTCATGATACTAGATATATATTTGTATTGGTCTAAGGTGCTACAGGACTCCTCGTTTTTCAAGTTCCAGACTAACACCGCTTCCTCTCTGAGACCTTTGGATCCTCTCTGGAGGAAGCAGAACCACAGAACAGGGATAGGAAGAGGGGGATGGGTGGACATTAAGACCCAGCGGTGCCCCAGATTTTCCTGTGGTCTATGCAGCTATGTATTCTGTGTGTGGGTAAGGATGGCCCTGTCCAGAGCACTTCAGTTTTTCCCCACTGTGAAGCGAGACTGTGCAGCACTCACAGAAACAAGGTGTCCAATGGCACCTTGGAGACTAATGATTGTACAGCTGAAGTAGGAATAAGAGATCCTCCGGAAAAGGGCTTTATTCTGGAGGATCGCGCCAGTCTGGACGCTCTTTTCCGGCTTTTCCCCAAGCCGGAAAAAAGCAGCGGCCATGTTTATTTAAATCCCGCGGGGGATATTTAAATCCCTCGCGGATTTCCCTATTCCAAAGTTAGAAATTAGCATGCCTCTTCCGAAGAAGGGGCCAGTCTAGACGTAGCCATGAAGTGAAAGACAAAGGAAACAGATAGTAGGCATACAGAGATGGGAGTGCTGCATCAGATACTACCTAATGTGGAAAATTACTTATGGTAATGAGTGAGCCACCCCCAATCCCTATTCAGACCCATTCTGATGGGGTCAAATTTGCATATGAATTCCAGCTCAACAGTTTCACGTTGCAGCCTGTTTTTGAAGGGTTGGTTTTGTTTTGTTGTTTTTTTTCTTGAGGATAGTAACTTTCAAATCTGTATCTGTGTATCCAGGGTAGTGATATAAAAGTGTAACAATGTACACGGCTAACTGATGAGCCCGGGCTCAATGGTTAACCTTCATGGCTACACACAGGCTCCCAGTAAGTGAGGAGAGCTGGCTTAAAAGATGGCTCCCCACCTCATGCACACCAGCTCCCAGGGAGCTGATATCACCTTGCGTGAAATTTTCAGCAGTTACAAGTTTACGTGTCCAGGGAGGTTAAAATGTTCTTCCACTGGTTTTTGTATATGACCATTCTTAATGTCTGATTTGTGTTCATTTAGGCTACGTCTACACTGGCCCCTCTTCCGGAAGGGGCATGTAAATTTCACGAGTCGTCGTAGGGAAATCCGCGGGGGATTTAAATATCCCCCGCGGCATTTAAATAAAAATGTCCGCCGCTTTTTTCCGGCTTTTAAAAAAGCCGGAAAAGAACGTCTAGACTGGCCCCGATCCTCCGGAAAAAGCGCCCTTTTCCGGAGGCTCTTATTCCTACTTTGAAGTAGGACATTTTAATAGGCACAACTTTGAAGTAGGAATAAGACCCTCCGGAAAAGGGCACTTTTTCCGGAGGATCGGGGCCAGTCTAGACGCTCTTTTCCGGCTTTTTTAAAAGCCGGAAAAAAGCGGCGGACATTTTTATTTAAATGCCGCGGGGGATATTTAAATCCCCCGCGGATTTCCCTACGACGACTAGTGAAATTTACATGCCCCTTCCGGAAAAGGGGCCAGTGTAGACGTAGCCAAAGTGGTGAAATTTACATGCCCCTTCCGGAAGAGGGGCCAGTGTAGACGTAGCCTTATTGTGTTGCATAGAAATAGTCCAGTTTGTCCAATGTACATGGCAGAGGAGCATTGCTGGTGCACGATGGCGTATATCACATCAGTAGATGTACAGGTGAATGAGCCTTTGATGGAATGGCTGATGTGGTTAAGTTCAGTGATGGTATCAGTAGAGTAGATATGTGGACAGAGGTGGCTACGGGGTTTACTGCAGGGACTGGTTCCTGGTAGGGATGTAAAATCCTGTTTAATTTGGTTAACTGGCAGCGAGTGGAGAGGGTGAGGCTTACCAGTTAACCATTCACATCCCTAGTTCCTAGTGTTGGTGTTGCTGTTGTGGGGTGTGTGGTTGGTGGTATGTGTTTCAGATCAGGGGGCTGTCTGTAAGCGAGGATTGGCCTGCCTCCCAAGGTCTGTGAGTGCAAGGGATAGGCTGTAGACCCAGCCCACACAGGACACTTTGCAACTTAATTAGCATTGGTAAGCTATCAACCTCCGATGCAAATTGCTTGTTATGTGCACCTAACAGATAGAAACTCAGTTACTGTGGCAGACGGTTACATCTGTTAAGTTGAAATTTGCATATTTGACCAGGGGAATTGCTCCCTCTAAATGACACATTGTACTATTAATTTCATTTTCTGTGATACTGAATGGTTTCCAACATCTGAGCAAGACACTACAAACTAATTGGCACAAGTTTTGTCTTTTGCAGCTCCCTGGCAATTGGAACCAAAACCGGATACAGGCTTTTCTCCCTAAGTTCTGTGGAACAATTGGACCACGTCTACGAAAACTGTAAGTTGGTTTTACCTTGATGCAGAAGAATATTGGGTGGTGATCGTCTTTAGTTTGTATGACTGCTCTTCTAATCTTCCTTAAGGAGAAATTCCATTTGGTTAACTTTCCTATTGTAGCAAAGATAACCTCAGCTTCTGCTCCATCCTCACTGGACTAGAGCGGTGCTAGTTACAGATACGTTTAAAGGAATATTGGCAGGCTTTTAAAAAATCAATTGGAAACACATTCTTAGTAGTATTTCTAACACCAGTGTAGGTGGCTAGACCTGAGCATTTAAGAGCTTTTCATTGATAGGTTGTTAGTTGACATTTTCCATGGTTCAGACTGAATGAAGTGTAGACACTAAACAGTCTTGCTTTCTGGTAGGTCTGCCTCTCAGTTCCCATAGGTTAGCTGAACTCAGGTTTGAGTTGCAGACACGAAAAGATGGAAGAATTTTCATTTACTTTATGGCTAGTAAGTTTCAGACTCACAACTTCAGTCTTCCACCTGCATTACCTGAGTTTGATATTCAGAATAAGGGTTGCTACCAGCACTTCTCTTTTAGGGACCCATCTGCAAGGAGGTTTGACTCCACTGAGCAACTTTTATGTTACCAAACAGTATAAAATGCAATTTTGTTTGCCAAGATCAGCCTAGATTTTAAGAAGCCTGCTTACCTAGGTGCTCGGCCAAAGCCCTTTAACATTATTATAACAATTTAGCCTCATGAATACTGATCTGCCCAGCTGTGTTGCACCACCTATTAAAAAGCATGGTAGTCCCAACCGATCAAGGTGCACTTCAGTAACACAACATAGCTGGAACCACACAGTGTTCCTGCAACAGACTTGTCCTCTTGGATTTCCACAGACTTCAGGGACACTGTTCAAACAACAAGTCTCAGAAGGCTAGTTATCTGAGTGTGAACAGGAGGCCCCCGCTTTGTGACAGCCCGATTTACGACCTTTTCTGTAGGTGTGGAAGGGGGCCAAAATCCCCCGACTTGCGTCATTGGCCCCTCATTTACAACGATATACGACACGTATCGTAAATGTGGACTAACAAGTTATAAAGAGAGGTTAAAATGACTGGGACTTTTCAGTTTGGAAGAGATTGAAGGGGGATATGATAGAAGTATATAAAATCATGAGTGGTGTAGAGAGGGCGAATAAAGAAAAGTTATTTATTAGTTCCCATAATAGAAGAAGTAGAGGGCACCAAATGAAGTTAATGGGCAGGCTTAAAACTAATAAAAGAAAGTTCTTCTTCACACAGCGTGTAGTCAACCTGTGGAACTCCTTGCCAGAGAAGGCTGTGAAAGCTAGGACTATAACAGAGTTTAAGAGAAGCTAGATAATTTCAGGAGGTTAGGTCCATAAAATGCTATTAGCCAGGAGATAGAAATGGTGTCCCTGGCCTCTGTTTGTCAGAGGCTGGAGAAGGATGGAAGGAGACAAATCGCTTGATCATTGTCTTTGGTCCACCCTCTCTGGGGCACCTGGTGCTGGCCACTGTCGGCAGACAGGCTACTGGGCTAGATGGACCTTTGGTCTGACCCAGTACGGCCGTTCTTATGAGTTACGGCACCTCCGATTTGCGACACTATCCCCGGAACTGATCACGTCGCAAGTTGGGGGCAGCCTGTACCCGTTGAAACAACAAGGAGTCCTGTGACACCCTAAAGACTAACAGATTTATTTGGACCTGAGCTTTTGGGGGCAAAACCCCACTTTGTCAGCATCTGATAAAATGGGGTTTTTGCCCACAAAACCTTATGCTCAAATAAATCTGTTAGTTTTTAAGATGCCGCAGTTCCTACAACACTGGAAGCTGATAGTGTTTAGAGTGTCACAGATGACTGGTACAAGTGACAGCCTACAAGAGATGTAGAGCACAAGTGGGCTGACATAGGGGGCCAGTCCCACTCCACACTATTTAGGGGACTCATATTAAAACGTTACTGTTGTCAGAGTTGCCTGTTGTTTTTACGCTCTCACTTAAAATACTGTAATCCAAGCAACAAAGAATTAGTTTGCACAGGCATGGGCAGTGGGTAATGTAGGCAAGCAAAGGCATTGCCTTTCTAAAACTGCTTACAGTATTCGGCTGCCAGGGAGCACTGCAGCCCCGGCCCTCCAGCCAAATGGGGAGGATTGGGCTTGAGAGCTTAGGATGGGCAGGACTTGGCTGGGGGTTGCTGAAGGAGCGTGGTCTTGGGGGAAGGGTGTGACTTCGGGCTGAAGGAGTGGAGCTATGACTTGCCTTCACCAGCTGCCCATGAGCACAGATCTGGTCAGTGAAGGGCAAATATTGGCTGCCTGTAGCTAGAGTGAAAAAGGGGGAACCTCTCCCAGGGTATCTGGGGAGGAAGGGTTGGGGAGGGAAGAGAAAGAGTCCTCTATTTACAGAAAGTCAACCCAAGTACCTTGGCTCCAAGGCATCTGGAGGGTTGGTGCAGCAGAGACTATCCTGTGTCTTATCTTCCTTCAGGCCATTCCTGTTCTCAGGGAGCCCAGAGCAGCCACATAGCAGGTACTCACAGGAAATACCAGCAGACTACGCAGTGCTTGTCCCCTGCCTCAGGGCATCCTGCTCTGTTTGCTCACGGATCCATTTCTTCCCCTCTAAGGAGCTTGTCCAGCTTCTTCCGAGGACATGTGCTCCCTTGATTAAGGTGAACACCCATGAGGGAGCCTGTTCCCTTCTAATTAACTGCACCTGGAGGGCCCAACCCAGACTAGTCAGGTGTGGCAGCTACTGCAGGCACTAAGTTCCTATCTTCAAAAGAAAAACCATTAACCCCTTCCTGTCTGGGCTCTGTGCATATCCCCATCTGAAGGCCTACCTGAAGTCATTCCAAGCAACGGTAATCTACTGTATATTTAAAAGTTTGTTTGATCAAGAACTCCTCCTAAACAGTAAGAGCTAGGGCTACCAAATTTGGTACAGAGCTTGCTCTGATCATAATTTAAAGCAAGGTAAGGGTTTGCTTGTGCCAGGAAAACAGGATGTGCCTGGAGTGGGACAGAGACAGAATCAACAAATCACAAACAACTGTTGAAAGAGACTGAACCAAGATGAGCCAGAAAAATAGGATGAACCTGCAATAGGATTGCTTCTCAATAACCCTTACAGAAAAGAGATAAAACAGGGAAACTGGGAGCAGTGCTCTGTTTTGGCACCGCTAAATCAATGCTTAAGGCTTGCAAACTAAAAGACAATGTTATTGGAAACCAAATTGACTACAGCCCTTTTTGGTTAAAACGTATCGCATGATGAGTTGATAGGGATGAAGAAAAAAATAGACTTGATGGAATTCCCATTTAAAAAATACTAAAATTAACTTCAGTAAAATAACACTATATTTTTTTAAAAATACAATCATTTCAAAAATACGTATGTTTTCCTTTTATGTAAAATATATATATGAATGAAGGACCTCAATACATCTGCTAGTGTATAACAAAAGCAGAACTCTCACACTAAGCATCTAACCCTGCAACTCCTGAGATAGGCACAATGCATATAAGGGATTTTACTCTTAAAGAACCAAGCCCCCAAGATGAAAGTGTTGTCCTCATCTTCTTTTGGTTGAACAGATGAGATCCCAGATGTTTATATTGTGGAGCGCCTCTTCTCCAGCAGCCTGGTGGTCGTGGTGAGTCACACCAAGCCTCGGCAAATGAACGTCTACCACTTTAAGAAAGGGACCGAGATCTGTAACTATAGCTATTCTAGCAACATCTTGTCCATCCGTCTGAATCGGCAGGTAAGGGATGAAGGCAATGTTCTCTCTAACTTTTTCCGGCCATGTGTGGAATAAATTTTATGTGCAGATATCAGAGGGGTAGCCGTGTTAGGCTGAATCTGCAAAAGCGGCGAGGAGTCCTGTGGCACCTTATGCACCTCGCCGTATGTGCAGATGTGCACCATCAGTAGAAACACATGCTGCCTGCTCTCCCCTCCCTGGCTGTGGTTTTAAGTTGTTCTCACTCTATTGACTTCCGTGAGGTTATACCCTCTTCCTATAGCCTTGTATTCTCCTCTCTACAAAAAGGGGAGGTCAAGGAGGTACATTCACGCCCACTGGTACCCACAGGTGAGCTACATTGTTTTAGCTAGATTCCATCATTCAGTTCCACCCTCGAGAGCTATGTGGTGTTAAATGGATGTAAGGGGGTGGGCGTGTGAGGACCACGAGCTTTCAGTACCTTTACAGTAAAAGAAGTGCCAGTGCAACTGCCAATTCTGGCTTCAGACCTACCATGGCATCTTCGTCACGGACGATGTAGTCACGGCTAGTAACACAAGCCTGGTTGTAATGCAGGGTGGAGCTTTGTCCAAAGGCTAACGTCTGCATCCATGAGCAGCCCCAAGCCTCGCTGTTTTTTAAAGGTGTCCTTTCCCTGTTTCCCAGCAGCTGGTTTGGTTTGGTTTTTAGGATTTAAAGTTCTTCTTTCCCACGTCCCCTCTCCTCTCCCTTCCCTCCCCCGCCCCCAATCTCTTCCAAAACACATTAGAGGTTATCATGAATAGAGTGAATTACAACACAAAACTAGGCCCTATAATTGTATCTAATTGGCCATTGCTAGGTTAGCAACAGCAAAACCTGCAGTAAGCATCTCCAAGAGGCAAGCCCTGTCTTGAGTTTCCAGTAAAGTTTTGTTTGACCATTTAATTTCTTCTCTGAAATGTTTTGTGGCAGGGAGGGAGGAGCTGGCAAAAGCAGGACTTCTTTTTGGAGGCCGATTTACGTTTTGCAAATGTCAGTGTAGTTCTAGGCGACTGCCATTCCTTTTGGTGGCTCTCGCTTCCCTGTGCAGTGCCATGAGCCAGAAGTTTGCCAGAGAAAAGAAGGATGCTGTAGTGACTTGGGCACTAGATTGGTCCTTGAGAGACCCCAGTTCATTGCTGTGTGATCGTGGGCGACTCACTCGGTCTTTCTGGGCCTTCGTTCGCCAGCTGTAACTAGGACAGGGTGACTACTCCCAATCTCCCAAGGGGGTTATGAGGATAAATACATTGAAGACCGAGGCACTCGGACACAGTAATAATAGGGACCCTAGATAGATGGTATAAACACCCACTTGGAGGAGAGCTAAATTATTCTAGTGCTGTAAGTATACATGCCACTTGGGAAAACACATAAAAGATACGGTCACTGTCCTGAGATGCTACTGCTCTAGCACAGGTGGATACAATCTATGATGGTTATGACCCAGCACCGGAGAGCAGCATTGGAAAACTAAGCCAAAGAGAGTTTTGAAGATGTAGGAGGATACTCATCACATGGGAGGGTTAGATAATAATGCTCCTGCTTGCCATTGGGAATAATTTATTTCACATCAACTGTCATTAACATGTGTAAATGGTGGTATTAAGACTATTCTGGTTCCACAGCATTGGGGAGACAAGTTGAGGCAGGTGATACCTTTTATTAGACCAACTTCTGCTGGTGAGGGAAATAAGTTTTTCGGGCTTGTTACAGGCTCTTCAAAGAGCTTGTCTTTGAAAGTTTGTCTCTCTCTCCAACAGCAGTTGGTCCAATAATAGATATTACCTACCCCACTTTGTCTCATTTAAAAAAAGTGTGTGAAGCTGATTCCGCTAGAGGGTTTGCAGATGTTCTATGACTGGATCGCTGGCTTACCCAAATATCTGAACGATCATGCGCAAAATTCTCTCTTGATACTAGGAGGCAAAGTTGGCCCCGCCCTCTGGACATGGATGCATTTTGTTTCAGTGCATTGCTGCACAAAATCAATACAACCTGGGCCAAATTTATCTCTGGTGTAACTGACTTCAGGAGACTAATCTAGCCTGTCTTAAACTTAAAAACAACAAATAGTCTGGTAGCACTTTAAAGACTAACAAAACATGTACATGGTATCATGAGCTTTCATGGGCACAGCCCACTTCTTCTGCTGACCCTGGCTTGTGAGTTAATTGGCTGACGATCAAGTTAGGCATTCACTTTGTTACTCTGAAAATCCTGGTCTTGGACTTTAGTATGGAAACCAGCCTGCACTGGAGAATATCTGTCATCGTAGAAAACCCATCCAAGCCAAAGAATCACCGTCGGCCATGAAAGTTTAAATAAGAGCAGATCTTGTTGGGTGAATAGTTTTGACTTCTGATTGGAAGATCAGTGGAAAATCTTTGTTGTTCAAACTGAAGAATCCATTTGAATTAGACTCTGGGGCTGCTACTGATTCATGGAAACTCTTTGTTCCCAGCACTGTTATTACTTGCACATGGTGGAAAAACAAGATTTTTTTTTTCCTTTAAATGCTGGGGCAGAGGTTTGTGCTTTAGTCTGGTGAGAAGCAGTGTTTGCATTTCAATGAAAACTCCCTGTGTTTTCCTTGGATCGCTCAGCTGCACTCCCGCAGCCGAATCCTTTTGATGTACTTACCAGAAGGACTTTGTTGCTTCTCAGTGTGCAGGGCAAGATGATTTTGTCCGTTTCTTGGTGTCTAAATGAAAGCAGAGAGGAGAATGCTGTGGAGCAGTAAACAGCCAAAATGGTACATTCTACATAATGCACGTTGTACAGATTGAACCTCTCTAGTCCAGGCCCTGGGGACCTGACTGGTGCCGAGCCAGAGAATTTGCCAAACCACAGGAGGTCAAGATTGTCTAGCAGCATCACCCACACTTCCACTGCTTGCTGGACACTCTCGGAAGACATTTAGGGGTAAATTAGAGCTAAATAACAGCACAGAACACGGAGAGCCAGGACTGGTGGCTGTAAACAAACCATATGGGACTACAGGAAGCCTGGCCACAATTCTGATACGTGGACGTCCAGCTGACTAAAATCATGCCGGATCATGGATGTTGCTGGACCAGAGAGTGCCGGACTAGAGAGGTTCAATCTGTATTGCTGTCGTTCCTTCTCACGCACCCTAGGAATTAGTACTCCACACAGTTCTGATGCACCATTCCCCAGCATCTAAGCAAGCAGCGCGATGCTAGTTCCTCATCCGTGGGCCACTATGTGCCCCTAGCACGGTGCTTTACACTAGTGCGAATGAGACACACATCCTTCCAGTTGACACTAGTGTTAACGACTGCTCAATGGGCAGGGCAATGGAGAAGTAGGCCTTTGTCTGAAACTCTCCCTGAACTACTTCAGGGAATAGTCTCTCCCCTTTACCTCCATGCTCCCACCAGTCACCTGGTGTCTGCTTTTCTAGGATCGTGTTCTTGGTGCAGGACACTGTAATTCTGCCCCACAAACACCCCATCTCACATCTGAAAACCTATTTGCATTCTTCCCCCTACGCATCCATCTATCTGCCCCTCTGCTTCCCTCTAGCTGTGCATCAGCAGCCTCGGATGGTCGAACTCTGGGAAGCCTCGAGACACCTTTGCACACAATATGCTTCACACACATTATTTTTATGATGTTATGAAGTTGAAGGCTCTTCCTTTGGAGCGTGCCACAGTATGCTAAAGGTGGGCCTCCTTGAATGGCTGCAAGAATAGAAGCTTCTCTTGAATTAGAAGGCGGCTTTGATTTCAAGTAGCATCGGTTGAGCCAAAGTTTTAAAGTGTGGGTGTCTAAAGTGAGTCACTGACCTCCACATGAAGAACTAAAATAAGTGGCCCGCTGGCCAAAAGGGGTGGCAGTATCTGTTGCCAGAGCCACCCAGGTCTGGAGAGTCGGGCCTCGCCTGCTAGTGCCAGCGTGTCCGAGGGGCTGAGTGTCTGCCACTTCCATTGATGCTGGGGGGAAGCTACAGGTGTTCAGCGCTTCTGAAAACAGGCCCCAGCTGCCTTCTCTGTTTGTACCAGTGCTGAACACATTAAGAACATAAGAACGGCCACACTGGGTCAGACCAAAGGTCCATCTAGCCCAGAATCCTGTCTGCCGACAGTGGCCAATGACGAGTGTCCCAGAGGGAATGAACAGAACAGGGAATCCTCACATGATCCCTCCCCTGTTGCATATTCCCATCCTCTGACAAACAGAGGCGAGGGGCCCCATTCCTACCCAACCTGGCTAATAGCCTTTGATGGACCTAACCTGCGTAAATTAATCTAACTCTTTTTTTAAACTCTGTTGAAGTCCTGGCCTTCACAACACCCTCTGGCAAGGAGTTCCGCAGGTTGACTGTGCGCCGCGTCAAGAAAAACTTCCTTTTGTTTGTTTTAAACCTGCAACCTATTAATTTAATTGGGTGACCCCTAGGTCTTGTGTTACGGGAACATAAGTGACAAGTATCCGATTGCAGCACCACTGTTTTGAGGCACGGTGCTGAGCGATCATAGCTCTTGCCTTTATATCCTGACAACACTAGGTACAGCTCCGGGGGATCCTGTGTTCTGCTTCTTTCCATTTCTTCCCCTCTATTCTGCAGCCCTCTTCCTGGCAATCGGTACTGGGGGTGGTGTCAACATAGATGGGTGAATGGCAGCACAAGGCAATGCAATGGAGATGGGGCAGATCACAGTAGCTGTCTGATAACCTGTTTCATCTCTGTTGTTCCTACTGAGCTAATTGGCCCTCTGTAATGTGCGTTTCCCCCCTCCCCCCCCGGCGGAATTTGAACACGTCCTGCTGCAGGACCTAGTGGTTTTCAAAGTTACGACCCAGTATAGGTGGTGGAATGTCAGGTGCTGGGTCGTGTTGCTGTAGGCTGACCTGGTGATTAATGGGGGTTGCTAGGCAGGCTTCCTCCCTCTCCTCGCACCACGGACCACACTGCACTCCAGAAGTGGCCAGCATAGGGTCCAGCTCCTAGGTGGGGGGCCACAGGGCTCCATGCACTGTCCTCCCCTAAGCACCATCTCCACAGTCCCATTGGCTGATTCCTGGCCAATGGGAATTGGGAAGGACACGCGCGCCATTTCGGGAGAGCAGGAGAGGCAGCAGCTGTGTGCACCGGGATGTGGCTTGCTTTCTTTCCCATTCCCCCGACAATAAGGGAGTGAGAAGAAATACTCGGATTCCATGAATTACTCCACCAGCACCCCAATGTCCTTTCCCACCCTGAGCCGCTTCCTGCACCCCAAACCTCTCATTCCCAGCCCCACCCCGGAGCCCGCACTCTCGTCAAAAGATATAATGATGGTGGGCCACAGGCATCAATCATTTTCTTCCACTGAGTCATGAGAAAAACGTTTGCCAACTGCTGGTCTAGACCGCTCTGGAGTGGGGAGCAGAGGCTGGGTTCCCACTCCCAGATGCTGAGTCAGAAATCCCCCACAAGCAGCCGGTGCTCCTTTGCTGCGGTGGTCTGTGAGGCTTCGCACTGGAAAGCGGGAGGAGTCCCATCGCAAGGATGATGTTCGAGTGGATTGTAGGGAGCCGTGCTGGGCGGGAGTTGATTAGCTGGGAAACGAGCGCATCCCGCTCTGATTGTTAGGATTGTAAAGGATCCTGATGTGAAAGGGGCCACAAAGGGGAAAGTGTTTAAAAAGAAAAGCCTACCTCGAGTGGGGCAGGAACGAAACATGGGGCTATTCGGAGACCACCATCGTGGCTAACATTCAAGCTGCTCCCAGATAATCCCTGGCAACCGCACAGCACGGTGCATTTGCGAGTGCTCTTTAAAATCAACTCCCCGGTAAGGTCAAGGCCAAAACGCTCAGGGTGTGTCATCTGGGTTCCAAAGTAGAACGGAATGCAGGCGGCTCTTTGTGGTGTGCAAACCTAGTTTTCCGGGAGCAAGGGGTTTGAGAGGAAAGATCTCCCCGCTCTCATTAGCCACTCTGGCAATCAGAGATGCCTGGTTTGCGCTCTCAGCTTGCAGGACCTGAGTGCAAGAGTAAACTCTGCTGGGAAAGACCAACATAACTGGCACCTGCTGACATGTTTTCAGTCTGGGTGCAGGGGGCATTAATAGGTTGCAGTTGTGTACCTATCTGCTGTGTTGTTGCAGAGGCTGATTGTTTGCCTGGAGGAATCTATTTACATTCATAACATTAAGGACATGAAGCTTTTGAAGACCATCCTGGAGACACCTCCGAATACAACAGGTAAGCAAAGGAGACTGGATCAAAGGGAACACATGACAAGCCGGGTGTTCTGCACCGAGCTCTGCCGATCTGAAACGTCTCTAAGAACTGAAATTGAGCCAGCCCCAGCATTCTTACTAACAGGGTTAGCTGGGTGCTGAGAATCCAGAAAGGCCCTGAAGACCGTAAATCTCTCCAGGGACCTGTGCATGTGAGAGGAGTCGTGCCTTGGCCATGCAGAGCTGGAGGAGTAGGAACCAGGGATGGGAGAGGAGGCACAGCTGACTGGGGGAACGGCACCCACTTCCAAGGAAATAACTTCATGGAAATAACTCTGACAACACTGCTAGGACTCAGTCTAGCTGCGTTTATGTTGCTGCGACACCCTTGTAATAGCGTGTCCAACAACGGGTAGGAGGCAGCCTTGAAATGCCCAGACCTGGCTTGGCTTTGCTTGATATGGGTATGGGGTAAAAGGAAAGGGGCTTCTTCTCGAAGTATTGGGGTTTCTAGCTGAAGACCGTGGTGCTGCAGGAACCAGGCTGCATGTGTCTTTCTGAGGTAGCCCCAGCATCCAGCTTACGTGACCTCCAGCAGGCAGCCCGCTGTCTCCAGCAACCACTTAAAAAATCCCCCGTGTAATTAAATTCATCGGTACAATCAGGTGGCCCCGACACGCTCCTCTCCCACGTCTTCACTCAGCCCACACGCAGCACATACTTCCCTCCTCTTCCTGGAGTCTGCCTTTCTTCTTCCACAGCAAAGGGATTACTGCAGGGACCGTACCTAGACTTTACCCTCCTGGGATCCTTCCTGAGTGGGAGGATTAGCACGTCTAGCTTCAGGACGTCCTGCCCTTTCCTCTAGCAATCCTGCTTCAGAGACGCTCCCAGCCTTTTGCATTCCTGTGCACAGGAGACCCAGCTGTGTTTGTCCCCCGGGCGAGTCAGCCGCATAGCTCTGCGCCTCCACATGCGGTCCTGTCGCTCGACACCTGATTTTAACTCTGTATTTAGACCCTGGCCCAGAGAGGCCTGCGGCAGCCAGGGAGGCCTGTAGCATGGTGGAAAGCCCTTGCAACTAGGCTTCTGCCAGGGACCTGTCTGGGCAGGGAGGGGGGTGGCCAGTAGCGGGAGGGAATGCACTTCTTCAGCTCGCCTCTCTGAGCTCCATAGAGCCTGCCCGTGTCCTAACACTGCTCCGTGCCAGTGGAGGGCAGGGAGCAGCAGAGTCCCCTCTTGTGCGACTTCCGGGAAATCCAGCTCTGCAGCCGCTATTTAGCTGAGCGAGGGGAGGGGAGGGGAGTCCGCGGCGGCTGCTCGTGGCGGGTTCCTGTGTACGTGGTTCTGCTGTCACTGCCGTGGGTGGTGGCATCTCTCGCTGTAGAGCAGGGGTGGGTGATCGTTTTTGAGGGGGAAGGGGCCACTCCAGGATTTTGGTACGTGGTCCAGGGCCGCCCTGCTTCGGGGTCTCCGCAGGGCGGGCTGGATCAAAGGGCTTGGCAGGCCACATATGGCCCATGGGCCATATCGTGCCCACCCCAGCTGCAGAGCCATCTCCGTGGAAGAGTTGCCTGTCTGCTTGGCATCCTGGGAACACAATGCCTGGCCCTCCAGCACGACCTACTTCTGTCTTTTAACAGATGGCCTCTTGCTGAGGATTAAACATCCTAAATCTTCGACAATAATTCGATGCCGATCAAAAATATCCCACAAGAGACACGCACGCCCAGGCCTGCTGCTGTTGTGCGGCTGCCTTGTCTTAGAAGCCACAGGTTAATGGTGTGCTGCTAGCACTGAGCACCGAGTGCTCCTCATCTCCCAAGAGTTTTGCAGGCTGCTAACCAGTCCTCTCTGCCGTCACTGCGAGGGAGCACAGCCCTGTTCTGCAGGCTGGGGGAAACTGAGGCAGGAAGGGTAGTGACTCCCCCCAGCCACGGAGGGGGATCTCTAGCAGAGGCACCAAGTGGCCTCCAGAGTTCACGGTGCTTGGAGCTGGAGTGCGGGTACGAGATCGCATCAGCGGCGGGTTGTAAGTAGGCCGGTTGCCTTTTTATTAATGATGTCAGTGGCTCAGCGGTGTAATGGCCCTGGCAGGACATTCTGCTCTCACAGGCTCTTGTAGGACTGTCTGGGGTACGGAAGAGCCACATTTGCCTGCAGGCTTGAACTCAGCACAGCTCTGACTTGTTTCCCTCTTCTCTCTCTGTGGGGACTATAGCATCCGGCCCAGCTGCTGCCTCAGTTTCCCCCTCCCAGCTCCCCAGTAACTGCTTGGAGGCTCTCCTGTCTCGACTAACTCCCCTTCCTGGGTGCTGGTTTATTGAACTCCGATGAAACTGAACCTTGCTCTTAAGTCCAATTAGTCTCCCCCTGACTCCTGCCGCCTCTTTGTGCTCTGGGCAGCTCCCCGCCTACTCAGTGACGCTAAACCCTGAGCTGATCCCCGGAATCAGACAGCCGGAGGTAGCATGGGGCTAGCCCTCTCTGCCCCCATCCTGAGCAGCACCCAGAGTCTGGGCCCACGTCTGCTTCGCTGGGTATCTCGAATCCGCCGAGATGAGACTATGCTGCCCCGGAGGAGGGGACATCAGACCAGTTCTTCTTCTGCTGCAGCAGTGGTGCTGCTCTTTGTCCCAGGCCTGGCTTCCTGGCTGGGTCTTCTAGCCAGGCCAGTAGCAGGGTGCAACTGACTCCTAGCCTGGCTTCTTCAGCTTGAAGACTCTCTAGCTTAGTGGCTCCCAGCCTTTTCGAGCATACAGACCCCTTTTCAATCTATTACAATTTTACATCCCCACCCCAAACCAGGCAGCTGTGCTGGCAGCCTGCACATCCTTCAGCCCCCGCTGCTTCCCGAGCCGTGGGAAGCAATGTGGGTTGAAGGACGTGCTGGCTGCGAGAGGCTCCATACGTTTATGATAATTTCTGTGTTAAACTTTCCACATGCCCCCGCCTCCACAGTACCGTCACGGACCACCAGTTGGGAACCACTGCCCTAGATCCGAAGTCCTCTCCAGGCTGGTAGGAAACAGTCTCCCGCTGTTGCCTTTAACCGGTAATGACTGAGAGCAAAGGCCTTCCTTTTGAGGGAACTCGCTCCTTGTCTCCTTGGCCTTTTATCAGCACTTTAGCCTCTGGAACACACAGTTAACCTCTGGAACTCCTTGCCAGAGGATGTGGTAAAGGCTAGGACTTGAACAGGGTTGATTCATGGAGGTTAGGTCCATCAATGGCTATTAGCCAGGATGGGTAGGAATGGTGTCCCTCGCCTCTGTTTGTCTGGAAATGAGTGACAGGAGAGGGATTACCTGCTGTGTTCCTTCCCTCTGGGACACCTGGCACTGGCCACTGTCGGCAGACAGAACAGTGGGTTTGATGGACCATTGGTCTGACCCAGTCTGGCCGTTCTTATGTCCATTTAGTTTAAAAAAAACTCTGGTTTAAAAAATCCTTCCCCCGTGACACAATCCCACTGTTTGGGCTTTATCAGCTGCCTTGTGTGTTACACTGGACAGCAGCGGAACTGTGTTTATCTGGCTGCTGCTCACCTCAGCGTGAGGCAGAGCAGGGCTGGCAATGTCTCAATACCCTGGATTGCTAGCAGGAGAGCTCACGTTACTGGATGCTGCTCTAGTTCCAGGGCTTTTGTTCCGTTCTAAACAATGATCTGAAACAATAGCTGCTGCTAATGCTGTCTGGCTGTTGGGCCTTTCCCACGGCAGTATCCTGGCATGACCGGCCCTGTGAAGCGTGCAGGGAGGGGAAGTGCACTTCCTGTTTGGGGAGCTGCACGCACAAGCTGCTTGGATCACAACTAGCCTTGAACGCTGCAGCCTCCCCTACGTGCGGCGCTTTCCTAGGAGCGTTCCGTGAGGTTTGACGCTTGCTCAGAAATGCAGGTTCTTATGGGGCCAGCTGTCCCCTGCATTCTAGCAGCAGCCACAGCAGCTGGGGGGAGGGGTACCTGTGGCCCATCAAGGGTCTGTGTGCGGCCCATGAGACATTGGGTTTCCTGGTGCCCATGTGCAGAGTTGCCAGATTCTGCTGGGTTTCATCCGCGTCGTTATTTTCCTACCGATATTACTCAAGTGACACACCCGCCAAGCAAGGGCCCGTGACGCGAGGTGGGTGCTGGTTGCTTGCAACAGTGGCTGTGAGAGCCGGGCGCTCCCACTGCATCCAATCACAGCGCTGCTACACCCTGCGAATTCTAGGTCCGCCAGCGCAGTGAGCAAATCTGCCCTATCCCGGGAACCCATCCTGGAGACGACCATCTCATGGCCCACTGAGACGACGGAGGGCCACTTGTGCGGTGAGGAGCTTGGCTCCGTGGTGAGGGGGGACCCATAAGAGCCCTTTGAAATGTTGCGGGTGATTGGAGACAATCAGTTACCAGGCTGGTAATTCAGATGAAGGGGGAGAAAGAAGCCTCTTTAAAAGGGCTATCGAGGAAAAAGCGAGCCCTACCCGCACATGCCAGTAGGTGCCACCAGAGTCCAGGAATTTCCTAGTGATTTCCAGCCCACAGTGCGTGGCTGGACGCTCCTCCGGTGAAGCAATGCAGCTGGAACTCCAGGGTTTCAGTCATGGGCTGCACCCGTTTTGTTTTTATGGCATGTGCTCACTCTCTACCTGACCACGTTTTTCTTTGCCTCGTGCCGTGCTAGGTTTATGTGCACTTTCTATCAACCATTCCAACTCCTACGTGGCGTACCCTGGCAGCTCGACTATTGGGGAGATCATGCTGTACGACGGAAATAATTTGGTAGGTGTGCTAACCATGCAGATACTGACACGGATGGAAAATAATGTGCGTAAAAGCTTCAGAAATGCCCGGCAGAGCTTTTCGAACGAAAGAGAAAAGCCCATCCGCATAACCATGCTGCACAGAAATCGACCACTAATATTGGGGGCATCTTCCACCCCTCCTTGTCCAGACACAGCACGTGGTTCAACTAATTATCTGGCATGGGGCTCAGAGTGAAAGTACTGAATTTAAGATCAGTGTGTTTATGGTCTAGTTCTTTGGCAAGGAGAGCAGCCTTCATGCCCTGCGTCCTCAGCAACTGGGGAGAAATGTGTGGTCGTTATAGGGCGAAGGGAGCTGCAAGGCAGAGAGAGAAAAGCCAGCAAGTCACATCAACTGCTTTGGAGAGGCATATAGTGAAAATGATTAGCAAATCCTCAGTCCTCCCTTGCCAGGGTTTCCCGGGGATAAAGTCCCAGGAATCGGTAAAGTTCGGTAAATTAAAAGCTTCGCAGAGCGTGAACTGTCCCCAGAGTTCAGTTCTGCCTGTGCCCAGGCAGGTGCCAAACATCAAGGCTATGTCTACACTCGCGGCTTCTTGCACAAGAATCTGCAGAGCATCCTCATTGCCCGCCTGCTCTTGCGCAAGTAAGTTTACAGTGCAACGTGGTAAGAGGGGGCTCCTTGTGCAAGAGCTATGCTCTTTTTTTGACAGGTGTAAGCCCCTCTTGCGCAAGAGGGCAGTGTGGACGCTCAGCAGAGATTTCTTGTGCAAGAAAGCCCTATGGCTAAAATGGCCATCAGAGCTTTCTTGCGCAAGAAAGTGTCCACGCTGCCATGGATGCTCTTGCGCAAAAGCACAGCTCGCACATGGCAGTGTGGACATTTTCTTGCGCAAGAAGCCGCGAGTGTAGACATAGCCCAAGGGAGCAAGGTAGAAGGGCAGTCACATCTTCTCAGCCTGGTGTGAAGCTAGGCTGGGCACCCACAGCTGCCAGAGGAGTTGTAAGTCCTGGGCACGGTGGCTGTGGTAGGTGGGTAGGAGGAGAGCTGGGGTGGGTGGAAGGAAGCATAGAAACTGTCCTGAACGTAGAAGTAGGCTCAAAAGACAGTGTAATTGCTTGGGACCTAGTATTTCCACATTCCAAAGTACGGGATGGATGGAGGGTAGAACGCAGCTGCTTGAGGGCCCAAAGACATATGGAATGAGCCGCCGGAAAGCAGGTGTGTGTGGGAGAGGAGGGGGTTTGCACTTTGGTTGATCCTCCTGTTACCTTTTTACCAACAGAGAACAGTCTGCACCATTCCTGCCCACGACGGGCCTCTGGCTGCCCTAACCTTCAACTCCACCGGCTCGAAGTTAGCAAGTGCGTCGGAAAAAGTGAGCGAGAACCCCGCTGTGACTAGCGTCTCCTTAATGCCTGTGTGTTCGTGGGGTTGCAGGTTTGCTGAGGATCCACAGAGCCAGCCAGTGGTTGGGTTAGCTTGTTTTATAGGAAGTGGAACCTTTCTGTTTCATGCCAGTGAAGCCTCCAGTATTGATTGAGAAGAAGAGGAAAGCTGGGGTGAGGGAGACCATTGAAAGAAACACAGTTGGGATTTGCACCAGATGGGAGGGTGGGAATGTCATTTGCATGTTCTGGGAAAGCATCAGAAAAGGGGCATGTTTCTGCTCGCCCCGCTTGCTGCATGACCTTTATCCTGCATTTTTACAGGGCACTGTTATCCGTGTGTTTTCCATACCTGATGGGCAAAAACTCTATGAATTCAGAAGAGGAATGAAGAGGTCAGTTCACTCCTTAAAATGGTTGACAAGTATGTCCTGGAATCAAGTAACAGCCCGTTCAATACATTCTCACTGCAGGCATTCTTGACCATGTAAGACCATAGCTGCTTCGACATATGTTACTGTCCTTCTATAAGAATGTGATAGCTGTGTATGGCCCCCGCCTTTTTTTGTCTCTGGTAAGCTAAGTGGTACAGTTCAGTCTCTTGCAAAACTGGGTGATTCCAGAGAATTGCAGGCATACTGGATACACTGACTCTTTCTTTTTTGCATAATCTCCCCTCGAAAGGAAAGGTTATTGAATTTCCATTTAATGTAATGAAGTCACAATAGTTATATCGTTAAAGTGAGAATCAGGTCTCTGTATATCTGGGTCAAGTGGGTATTACCGTTTACCTGTTCTGATCTGGTTGGGTTTTATGCCCACATTGTCCAGGCATAAATGACTGTGCCCAGGTCTACACTACAGTTAGGTCGACAAACTGCCTTACCTCGACCTAACTTTGTGTTTACCCTAAAATGTAGCTCCCACCGTTGTAACTGGCCCACTGCACTGACTAAGGCCAGATCTACACTGGTGGAGAAAATCGATGCAAATATGCGACTCCAGAGAGGAGAATTGCGTAGTTGGAGTCGACGTCCCTTGCACTGATTTCCTGGGGCGGCCCTGCAGTGGGAGGTCGATGGGAAAAACTCTCCTGTCAGCTTCCCTTACTCCTCACAACTATGAGGAGTCCTGGGGTCAACGGGGGCGCCCTCTGTGTTTGATTTAGCAGGACCTTACTAGACCCACTAAATCGAACACTGGACGATCCTTCTCCAGAACGTCTATCTTCCTGCAAGTGTAGAAGTGGCATGAGGGCAGGGCCTCTGTGTGTGTGTGGGCTCCTGTGGAGGGGAAGGGGCGGTGTGAGGGCGGGGCCCCTGTGTGCGTGGGGGGGAAGGGGTGGCGTGTGGGGGGGGCCTGTGGAGGGGAAGGGGCGGCATGAGGGCAGGGCCATGGTTTGGGCACTGGTAACCCCCCCACACACACTTTTAGGGAGCTTCTGCCACTCCTGTCCTAGTATGAGGGCCGGGGCCATGTCTCCCTCCTAGGGTTGTATTTAGCCTGACCAGGAAAAAACATGGTCAAACGATGCTGCCAGGGCTTAGTTGGGCAAAATGTCTCACCAGCTTTCCAGTCTCTGGGTCAGAGCTGAGCATGCGGCCCATCAGGGTTCTGTGTGTGCAGCCATGACCAGGGTCCCCTGCAAGCTGAGCTCATGAGTGAGAGTCGGTGCTGCCCAGCTGATTAGCAGAGGGCCCACAGCATGTGCTTCTATTGGTGGTGCACATCCATACATGCCTTGGTGCACATAATAAAATTTATTCCAACACGAATGGGAAAAAATTAGCGGGAACATTTGTCCCCGAGACACTTTGTTTGTTGTTTCCCACCCAGAGGGTTGCCAGATTCCACTGCTTTCTGTCCACGTAGTTTTTTCCCGACTGGTTTTAAAGAAGAGGCACGCACGTAAAGCCAGGTCCTGTGCTGCGAGGTGCATGTTGATTGCTCAAGCATTGATTGTGAGAGCCGGGTGCCCCCTCTGCACCCGATCCCAGTGCTGCTGCGGATCCATCAGTGCATGCTGCAAATTCTAGGTCCGCCAGCGCAGTGAAGAAAAACTGCCCTGTCCTGGGAGACCGTCTTGGCTACGACAATATCCCGGCCCACTGTGACACTCTTGTGTCTCGCTCATGAGCCTTGGTTGCCTGTCGCGCTTTGGGTCCTCTTGAGTCTGGATTTCTAGATGGCCCGGTGTGGCTGCTGCGTAGTGACGCGCCCCTTCTTTTCTCTGCCCCAGGTACGTGAACATTAGCTCGCTGGTGTTCAGCATGGACTCGCAGTTCCTGTGTGCCTCAAGCAACACTGAGACCGTGCACATCTTTAAACTGGAACACACCACAGACAGGTGAGTGGCTCTAAGCCAGGCCCACTGGCCAGGGAGGAGGAGGGAGAAAAGAGGGCAGGTGTCTCTAAGTTAAAAAGGGATGCTGGGTTCCTGGCCCCTGTTGCTGCTACTGTGCAGTGGTAGTGCCTGGGGCCCCTTAAATTGCCATGGGAATGTGGGCGGGCGGGACCCAGCATTGAGGGCTGGATGCCCCAGACCTGCCCCTTCCAGGTGTGCTGAGCAGCCCCCCCACCTTGCCCAGTGGCCTGCAGATGTTGTCGGCCCCTCAGCTCTGAGTTCCGCCATTTCCCCCCCGTCTCGACAAGGGGAGTTGCCACACAACCATTAGCATGCGGCTTAGTCCATGCCTTCCCTTCAGTGAGACTGGTCAGACTAACCCTTCAGCTCAGTATCCCAGGGGACTGGCTGCTAGGAAGCGCTCTCCCCACTCTTGGCTGGAAAGCATGTCAGGCTAACCTCTCCCTGCCAGTGTCTGGCCAGCTCCCAGCAAGGGTCCCCCTCCGCCGGATGCCGCTGACGTCCGAGTTGCTATAGCAAAGCCAAGCAGTGTTGCCACGGAGCCGCCGTGTGCGTGCGGCTGGAGGCAGGGGGAAGAGACGTGCTGCAGGCAGCACAGCCCTGAACTGGCCATGAGGTCTCAGCAGTTTGCCTGCTGGATGCGTTTCCACCCCCTGTGGTCACATCGTGTTAGAACTTGCTGGCCCTGCTGCTCGCTGAGTCAGCCCCAGCAAGGGGAGGGTTTCAGTCTGACTAGCAGAACCCGGCTGTTCCCTGCAGAGCAGATCCAGCAGCGGGCCTTCAGGGTGTGTATAGCGCTTGCAAATGGGGCCTTTCCGCTGGAGTCTGCAGACAGTCCCCTAGCAGCCGTACCGACCGGAGGACAGCTCCCCTGTCATGCTGGGGGCCTTCCGCAGGCGGCTGCAAGGGCAGAGTTCTGTGGCTCAGATTGTGGTCTCGCTCCCCAGCAAGAGAGCCGTCCTTGGAGCCGCATTCCCCCACGCGGCTCAGATGTGAGGTGCAGTTTTCAATCCAGCTGTGGAGGGGGGGAGTGACTTATTGGACCAAGCACTGCTCTGGGACCCAGGAACCCTGGAGCTCTGTTCTTTGCACTGCTGCTGGCCTGCTGGGCGACCTTGGCTAGTCGCTTTGCCTCTCCGTGCGTCAGTTTTGCCTGATGCTGATCTGTGCGCTGCACTGTACTTACAGGCCCTTTGTTCTAAAGGCCTCCTGTCCGAGTGAGCCTTGCGAAGTGCTAAACATGCAGGGAAAGTAACTTATTGGGGTTTCTGGCCAGGCAAGAAAAGGGTTAATTTTTAATCCTGGTCCTCCCTGAGGCGAAGGTGGGGAAGTAGATTTTGTGTCTGGCCGAGGCCATTTGAATTAGTTGGGCAAGCCTACGTTCAAGCAGGTTGCGTGTTTCTGGCCGTATCTAGCACGACAATCCTGCAAGTCACTCTCAGGAGTTCGCAAGCGGGGGAAGGCTTGCAGAAGTTACCAGCACGGCATTTTTTCTCCGTGCAAGCAAATCATTTGTATTAGGTAACGGGGGTGTTGCAAAGCCTGTGAGTCAGCTCGCACAGTCCAGCAAAAGGCAGATCCGTGTGCCGCTGTTCTGATAAGCATGCACGTTCTAACTAGCCATGGTCTCTGTTTTGTTGATGCTAGATATAGTAGCCACTGCACTTAGCCCCACTGACTGGTTTTGTTACCCTCAGCCGGCCAGAAGAGCCTCCCACCTGGAGTGGTTACATGGGGAAGATGTTCATGGCTGCTACCAACTACCTTCCTGCTCAGGTATCGGACATGATGAACCAGGACCGGGCCTTTGCCACCGTGCGCTTGAACGTATCTGGACAAAGGAACATCTGCACGCTCTCCACGTACGTAAGAGCAGCTGCATTCCTCACCCCCTCTGCCGGCAGAGAGCACTACAGACGCAACCGGACAATTTCCTCATGTGACACATTAGCAATCAGCTGGGCAGGCAGAAAAGGGTGGTGTAATAGTTTGCTGAAGGCGCATTTACTGCATGTAGGGTACCTCCTACACAGTCCTTCAGGGGATGTGGCTAGGTACAGACTTGGTCCCCTGCAAAGCCCTTCCGTAACTCTGGGTCCTCATGTAGGTCTTGTTGACTCACCAGTCTGCACTGGTTGAGTTACACCAGTGCAAACCCATGGGGTCCCTTTAAAGCTGTGTCGACATGACTAGTAACCGGGTTTGGATGGGTTAGGGCACGCCCCAGGCTTGGCCTCCCCTGCAACCTGCTCTGGTGCAGTGTATGCACCACCCATCATGGGGTAAATAGGGCCGGGGGGTGTGCGAGGTAGGAACATCAGGCAGACACGTGGTAGGGATGGGCTGTAATTTCACGCGCTGCATCCCTACCATGGTGCCCTACTGGCTCCGAGATCCATGGCTTCGTTTCTGAATAGGATTCAGAAGCTGCCACGACTGTTAGTTACCACGTCCGACGGACACCTGTACATCTACAACCTAGACCCGCAAGATGGAGGAGAGTGCGTCTTAATTAAGAAACACAGGTAAGCGCCTCCCAGGGGCGCCAACCCCATGGCCTGGCTAGGGAATGGCCTTCCAAAGGGAAACTTGCCTCCTAGAGTAAAACGAGACACCAGGGTTTAAAGCGACTTGTAGTTTTGGGTCCTCAACGTGAGGCTCTTGGAAGGAGCCTGATTTCCAGAGGGCAAACACTAGGCACTTCCTCCCCCGCATGGTGTCTCCAGCTGAGCACCCTGCTGTCCAGGCATCACAATCACTCACGGCTTTGCCGGACTCAGCCTGTTTTGGGCAGGGGGACGTTTACAATCACCTCCTCGCAGAGGTTTGTTCATCTCCGAAATGCGGAGACCCTGACCCTCTACTGCCAAGGCCAGGGCACATCCACTGAGGTCAGGTCGTCTGCGCTGACCAGGCAGGAGTAGTGCCCCTCTGACTGGGGAGGGGTGATAAGGCAGGGCAGTTCTGGGAACTCTCCTGCCCACCCACAGACGTCAGGCCGAGTGCAGTCTTCTCCTGTGCTGCTGTTTTCATTTGTACGTAGTAGGGATGTTAAAGTGCATTTAAGTGATGGCGTAACCGCTGAAAACGTCAGCGCTTACTCGCAGGGCGGCAGGGAGCTCCTCAGGAGCCAATGTGCATGGGGCAGAGCTGTTAAATATTGGTTAATTGACTAGTTAATTAACCTCATGAATGCTTATCGGTTACTCGAATATTCTGTAGTCCCCAGGGGTGGGGCTGGCAGCCAGTGCACTTCAGCCCCACTCCCGAGGATCCTTAAGTTTGCAGATGATACCAAACTGGGTGGGGTTGCGACTTCTTTGGAGGATAGGGACATAATTCAGAATGACCTTAGCAAGTTAGAGAAATGGTCGGAGGTAAACAGGATGAGGTTTAATAGAGAGAAATGCAAAGTGCTCCACTTAGGAAGGAACAATCAGTTCCATACATACAAGATGGGAAGCGACTGTCTAGGAAGGAGCATGGCGGAAAGGGATCTAGGGGTCATAGTGGACCACAAGTTGAATATGAGTCAACAGTGTGATGCTGTTGCCAAAAAAGCAAATATGATTCTAGGTTGTATCAACAGGTGTGTTGTAAGCAAAACTCGTGAAGTCATTCTGCCGCTCTATTCTGCACTAGTTAGGCCTCAGCTGGAGTACTGTGTCCAGTTCTGGGCGCCACATTTCAAGAAAGATGTGGAGAAATTGGAAAGGGTACAGAGAAGAGTGACAAGAATGATTAAAGGTCTAGAGAAGCCTATGAAGCCAGGCTTCATGAACTGGGCTTGTTTAGTTTGGAAAAAAGAAGATTAAGGGGGGACATGATAGTGGTTTTCAAATATCTAAAAGGGTGTCACAAGGAGGAAGGAGAAAATTTGTTCCTCTTGGTTTCTGAGGACAGGACATGGAGTAATGGGCTTAAAGTGCAGCAGGGGAGGTTTAGATTGGACATTAGGAAAACATTCCTAACTGTCAGGGTGGTCAAATATTGGAATAAATTGCCAAGGGAGGTGGTGGAATCTCCCTCTCTGGAGATATTTAAGAACAGGTTAGATAGACATCTGTCAGGGATGGTGTAGACGGAGCTTGATCCTGCCTTGAGGGCGGGGGGCTGGACTCGATGACCTCTCGAGGTCCCTTCCAGTCCTATGATTCTATGATTCTATGATCCTGCAATTCTATGCTGCTGCCTCTGATGCAGAGGCAGCAGTGCAGGGTAGCAGCAGCCCCTGTCCAGGGGAGGATCTGAGCTCCCGGACCCAGCCTGAGCTGAAACAGAGCCAGGCTACCTGCCCGCCTGGCTCCTAATACACTTGAAATGCAGAGTCACAGCAGGGGTAGTTCCTGGACCCAGCACGAGCTGGAACTGAGCCAGACTGCTGGACAGCCTGCTAAAAAATTTACTGGCAAGGGGGTAGGTGCGTGTGGTCTATAGCATTAACTGATCGCTTTTGCTTCTCAGTTAATTGGTTAATGGACTACACTATTACATCCATCTCGTAGGGAGCTGGCTTTTAAGCCACCTCTCTGTGTGTACTGGGAGTCTGCATGTAAGTGCGCAGGTTAACGGAGGAGTGCAGGCTCACGGGTTAATGGTGTACACAGTTACACTTTCACATCCCTAGTACATATATCTGAAATGAATAACCCCAGAGGGTTACGTGACTGGATAATGAAAAGCCTTCGGGGAGTGGTGGAAGGGAATACGTGTCTGTATCTGCCTAAGCATTGTCCGTTAAGCCCACCAAACTCATACACACAAAAGCTGGCTGCTCAGCATACTCCAGTGTGCCCAGCTAATTCAGACATCCGTGACACAGGCCGAGCCATGTACCTTGTGCATAGCACAGGTCCCAGATGGGCCATTTCAGGTTCACGTTTGGCTGCCTGGGTTTTACGGGCTCCTCCTGGTTTTGCAGCAGGGTTGGCATCTCGTGGAACCTTTGGATGAGTCAAGTGAGTTTAAAGCTGATTATCCATCCCCGGTGCTTTGTTAGAGGTGCTGCAGGTGAGAGGAACAGAGAGGATCAATGCTAACTCCTATTCCTTCCCTTGCTTCTACCCGATTAGCCTGCTTGACTCGGGAAAGCCAGACGAGAACCAAGAAAACGACCTCCGGCCTCCCTTCCCTCAGTCTTACGCCGCCACCGTAGCCAGACAGAGTTCGACGCCTTCCTCTTCAACCAGGCCAGGTGAGCGTGAGCTGGGCTTGCAAGGGCTCACAGAACGGAGCCGCGGAGAGGCCTCCCTGACCCGGCCCTTCCCACGCCACGGCCCATTGGAATGACTTGGGATGATTTGTTCTGCTTCCCATCACCCCAGTTCCTGCCATCAAGTCCAGGGCTAATCCTTATGCTCAGGTAGCATCCCTTGGGGGCTCCCAAGCCCTCCTCCATGGATCCAGCTGCAGGGTGGAATTTCACTGCAACCGAGTCCATTGCAGGTTCCATCGTGTTGACCTTCCTTCCCCGCGCCCCGTGTTTCATGACGATCGCCGATTCTCAAATGCCAGTGCTCGTGGGCACGTTTGCTCTTGTGCGCTGAGCACAGGAGAGGGCATCGGGAACACCTACGTTTTGAATTTCCTCTCCAGTATTGACGCTCTCTATAACAGGGGTGGGCAATAACTTTCACAGGGGTTCACTTAACGAACTTTGGCGCATGCTTATGGGCCAACTCCACCCCCAGAAGGGGCGGGGCCTGAGGTGGAAGGAGGCGGGACTTGGGGACTAGCCTTTTCCCCACAGTTGTCTGGGGCCAGAGGCTTTGAATTAAAAACACAGCAAAGGGCTCGCAGCTCCTGGACCTGCCACTGCCTTGTTGCCTGGCAGCTGCCTGGGGTTGCTGCAGCTATTTAAACAGCTCCCAGCCCTTGCTGGGGTAATGTTGAGACCATGAGCCATTTAAATAAGATCCTGCTGCCTGAGCTACCACATGGAAATTCGGTGGCATGGGCAGCAGGCTATAAATGGAAAGTGGCCAGATGCAGTCCGTGAGCCGGATCCAAATGCTAGGTGAGCCAGAGCCAGGCCGCATCTTGCCCAGCCCTGCCCTATATAGCCTTGAGCTAGCCATGTAACCACTTTGTGTCAGATGATGCCACCTGTAAAATAAATCCGTGTTGTGAAGCTGAACAATAAGACTGTGGAGCCACACAGGGCATGTCCAAGAGCTCCGCATATAAATGTTCAGTATGTTTCAAGTGAACAGCGTGAGCACGAAACCCTGGGGCAGCACGGAGGTCTGTCAATCCATGTCTTCCCCCACCCTTCTCTGAACTAAACACCACACCCTTTACTGGACTCTTTCTGATCAGAACTTTGCATATTTCTGGTGTTTCAACCTGGCTCACAGCCCATTTCCTGGACCTTGGACCTGCACAGTGTGTCCAGGAACAGTGAAGAGTTTACAGCCATATAAAGCCACCACTCGGCATGTAACTCATTTGGAGAGTCTGGTCATTGGATTTTTCAGGAGTGAGACAAACTAATTACAGTCAGTTCACCACCGCAAAAAAAAAAAAGTTGTTTTCCTACTTCACAGGGGGATGAATGGGCTATAATACTTAACGTTCTATCATCAAAGCGATACAGGGCTTTGACAGTAGGAAGCACTAGCTAAATGCTAAGCATGATTAATAATGATGAAAATTACCCTGCAGCTCCCCTGAGAACAGTAGTAACTTTATCGTCACTTGCACTGAAGTTTGTTACTGATAACAGTTGTCAGATCTGTGTCCAACCATTGAAACTGCGGTTGTGCACAAAAAGCCAGATCTCCTGTGGTACCGCCTCAGGATTGTTACAGGTTCATTGAACCTACAACTGTGCCTTTTCCTACAGAAACTAGCAAATGATGCCTTTCAGTGGGTGACTGCCTTGTTAAGACACTCTGGTCGTCAAGACTTGCATATGTTCTAGTCCATGTTCTAGGAATCTGGGCTTTCTTTAATGGACCCAGATACCTTTAACACATCTCCTCCCAGCATAAAAGAAATGATTCCAGCTGCCTTGCAGAACACTTAGACCTAAGGTGATCGGAAATAATCCTAATTAAATACACGAAGGAATATTTCAGGTTTCTAACTCTTGGGGTGGGGGTGGGGAATAAATTAGCAAGACCAAAGTGTCTGACAAGACTTTGCTAAAACATGGAGCATGACTCCTCAGCAGTTTGGTAGCATCAAGCAGGCTGCTTCCCTGTCTTATGCCGAATGCGTGCCAGGGAGAATTCGTTTGCGGTGGGTGGGTGGGTGAGCATCTCGTCCTGCTCTGAGGCAGTTTCTGTTAATATTCAGCAGAAGTAGCACATACCCACTGAGAGCAAAATACGGTCCCGGCAAAGGGCCTTTTATGGGATCGGCTCTTTTATAAAGAAATTCTTGGCAGTATCTTGCTGCTACAAGGTGCAAATGTACTTTCGGCTACATCGTTTGGTTGTCATAATAACCAAAGAAATGGAAAGACTGTGAAGCAGTAGAAAGCATTATTACCATTTAAACTTTCACCTTTTTTGGAAACACAACCTGGCGTGATTTTTTCCCTGGGCATTTGTCTGTATAGCCCGAGATCTGTTTTACTATTGAAACTGACTTTTCTGTGAAGCCTCTTTCCTTCTTGCATCCCACAGGAACAAATGCCCTTCCAAGTCTTCTGTACGAAATACTCTTGTGCTACAGCTGTGTGGCTGTTAAAGTTATTGTAGCAAATGAGCCAAGTCCCTCTTGGTTTGCCAATGGTGGGAAGCAGAAAACTTATTTTGCAGAAGCTAATACGTTAATCTGTTCCCCAGGCTACTGCGGGCACAGAGAAGCACCCACATCACACGCACACCGGTAGCTTTGCCAGACTGCTGCAGAAACCAACTTCAGGCTCATGTGCAGTGCAAGAACAGTGTCTCCGCGCGCTCGGTGCTGGGCTTTTTGGATTCATTTGGTCTTAAGTCTGTCGCCTTTCTTTGGTTTTACAGGTTACTCAGAAGACGGGGGAGCCTTGCGAGGGGAAGTTATCCCAGAGCATGAATTTGCAACTGGACCAGTGTGTCTCGATGACGAGAATGAATTCCCGCCTGTGAGCATTAGGAGCCCCTAAAACAGCAGTACAGCCCTCTTGCTAAGAAGAAAGTAGTAACTTCTTACGGAAAAGATGGTTGTTCCATCTCTCTAATGTGCCCCGATCCATTATCAAGCCTATTAACAACTGTGTTACAGACACACCACCAGGTCATTTACACTCTCAGGCATGACAGCGAGGAATGGGGATGTAGCCTACACAAACTAATGTTAATTAGAGCTAGGGCCAAGCAAATTCCTGTGTTTCAAGCCCCTTCAGGCTTTGGTTTGAATCTGGATCTGACCTTGTAATTTTGGGCCTATCTATCACATTAATAGAAACAGCTTTAATTTCAACAAAGGCGGCATTTTTAACAACACAGTAATTATTCCCTGCAGTGTTTTCACTGCATACATAATCCAGCATTGGGTTAGTGCAGCTGTAAATTGAAATGACCAAACCAAAGGTAAAACTGAGCAATCTTTCAATATCCAGGCTGAGGCCAGGCCTACACTAAAGGGGAAGGTCGAATCAAGACACACAACTCCAGCTATGTTAATTACGCTGCAGGAGCAGGAGTACAGGCTGCTGGGGGGGAGAGGACATGCCCTCTGGGTTCAATTTAGCGAGTCTTAACTAGACCTGCTAAATGGAACTCCAGAAGATTGATTGTGGCAGTGTGAAGACATGGCCTCAGTGAAATGCAAAAAATCCCAGCGTCTTTAGAATCAGAGGTGGCAAGCTCCTCCGTAAGGAACATATTGTGGGGGCTGATCTGTGCTTCCACCCTAGCTTCCCTGTAACATGCAGTCATATGCAAGAGGAGATGGGGGAGAGGCAGGTGAGAGTGGAACCTAGAGAGACTGGAGCAGCCATTGCGGCACCTAGGTGGGGAGCAGGTACTGGAAGTTTGAATTCAGTAATGCAGCTATGTTAATTGCATAGCTGCATTTGATGTACCTTAATTTGATCTTCTGCGCTGTCTTCATAGCAGGAGGTTCCCTTACTCCTCACGAATCAAGGAGTATGGACATCAACAGGGGTGCCCTCCACATTTGATTTAGTGGATCTTTACTAGACCCACTAAATCAAATACCAGAAGATTGACTGCTGCAGCATCAATCTTACTAGTATAGATGTGGCCTAAGTAGTTCCCCTTTCTCCCCAGGCAGAACACCCATCCCACTCCACAATCTATCACTGACTCCCCCCGACACACACACACACACACACACACACCCTGTCTTCCCATGTAAAGCACCTCTGATCCTTTGCCTCACCATCACCACCCCCAATTCACAGTAAGCTTCCGCCCCCACTGGGGGGGGAAAAAAACCCAAACCTCCACTACACATGGCGACAGCCATAGTAGAATTTAAAATCCGTTTCCAATATTTTTAACAATCAGCCTTATTAGTCATCAGTGTCAGGGACATTTTTGCTCTTTAAAACTGACTTTGGACCTGGCAGTGTCTGTCTAACTATGTGATCTAGTATCCAAACACTATGCTGTTTGCTTAGAGCAGTGTTTCCCAATTTTATTTGGCCATGGAACCCCTAGTGTTGCCTTTAAAAAAAAAAAAAAAAAAGGGCCCTGCTGCGATTCATCGAGCAAAAAAAAAAAAAGCCCCGACACCGCGATTCGCACTGCAGCTCTGGGCTCTGTCTTTTAAAGAGGGGACAGGAGGGAGTGCCAGCTCTTCACGGAATCCCAGGGTTCCACGGAGCACCAATTGGGAAACACTGGCTTAGAGAACAGATGTTGGTTAGCTGCAAGAATAACTTACAGTAGTTGGCAGCCTCTCCATCATGGTAACACACTACTACACCAGGACGTTGTGACATAACAGTGCGGTGACAATTTACTGTGGGCCAAATCTTCAGCCCTTTACTGAGACCTCACCCATCTTCAGTGGAAGTTTTGCCTGTGTAAAGACCAAGTAAAAACTATATTAAGATCTCAGGATGTGACCCACAATTGGTGGCTGAGATTTTGAAGTTGACTCGGGTTTAGTGAGCCTGTAGAGCACTGAGATTTACTGATGTAGAGTGCTGTGTAAGAGCAAGCTAGCCAGCACAGAACTCTTGTGAAACTCACGGCTGTAGCTGAGAACTGTGTATGACACAGCCTGGAGTACACAGTTCTCTTTTGTTGCCTGGACCTGGCATGTGTGTGTGTCTCTCTCTCTCTCTCTGTGTGTGTGTGTGTGTGTGTGTGTGTGTGTGTGTGTGTGTGTGTGTGTGTGTGTGTGTGTGTGTGTGTGTGTGTTTCTCCCCCTTCCCCATTGGCTTCCTGTTTATGGTATTTAGTCTCAAGGGTCTACCCTTTCATGATTGCATGTTGACCCCCTGGGATGCTGAAGCAAATATGCCTTGTAGAAGGAGTGGAGCCTACAAAAAATGCCTGTGCTTGTTTCTAAAGGACCCGCATTAGGGCTTGTGTTCTAGGGACAAGCAAGTGCCAACAAGCAGGAGCTGAACTGGCCTGATACGCTTAAGTGAGTTTGCATGCTGTGACTGGATTGTATGGAAGCAGCCCAAAACCCCTGCTGGCCATCATCAAGCCCTTGATTAAATGGACTTTGATCTGTAAGAGCCCCATGCTGTAATTTACGTGACAGAACAACTTACGTGTCTGACTTATTTCCCAAAACAGGTCCCTCTGCCATGACCTAGCAGTAGGAGCGTCCAGATAAAGCATTTGGAGTCAGAACTTTGTTTCCTCCTTGATGCTGAAGGTTCCAGTTGCTAGTGCAGCATTTGCTTATCCTGAGTTGTTTATAAGTAAGGCTGGTTGGAGCCCTTTACGTGGAGGTAGGTTGATCTCGATGAGGTTTTCAGCAGAAAGGCTTTTGGAGTCCAGGCTGTGCTGTCTGGTCATTTTTTGACTAGTTGACCTAAGCCTGACCTTTCTGATCAGAAAACAGACATTTCAACACAACTCTGTTTAGTGGAAATCAGCACCTCCTAGGACTGGAAGGGATCTTGAAAGGTCATATAAAGCTTGAAAGGTTTTGGCTTCATTCCAATGCAGAACAGAAACAAAGAGCTGTTGCAAAATAGAACTGTTCTCCCTCAGCCAGCTCTACTTGGTAGAGTGCTGCAAATCTGCGGATATCCACAGCATATTTTTGCAGATGTAAGGGCTCTGTTTGTTGGACTTTGTACCTGGACACGCTTTTGTGGAAGGAGCAGCATATGGTATCCTGTAGTTCCTCATGGTTTTTAAATACTTTCCTTCTACTAATTCAGACACTGCTTAATGTGACCAAGTCATTAGTATTAAAGGTATTTATCACATGGGCCTGATGCAGAGCCTGTTGCTGGCTGTAGAAAGTTGCCACTTAATTTGACGAGGGAAGAGCCAGGTCAGATCTCAGTGAGAAGAGGCAATAGAAAGCCCAAAGAAAACCTGTGTGATTTCAGAGTATCATCTGACCACAAGTAGAAGTTGTTTGGGTGATACAAGGTGCTATTGAAACTGGTAGTGACACGGAGAACCAGGCTAATCACCTATTTCACTTGCAATCGTGGGAATAGATTTCATCCTGTGAAATCCACTGGGGACCTTGCATTTTTGAGTTATGGTAACAGCTGGCACGATATTACCCTAAGACTGATGTCTCAAAAGGAAGGCATGGAGGTCCGTACTTGATCCCTGTAGAATCCTGACTGGCTGGGAGGACCAGAAATCCTTGTGGGAATGGAGCAGTGACCCCATTTTATTTATTCTGTGTACAGAATTTATTCTATTAAATGTTCACGTGGTTTTGGCCACACACGGCTGCAGAAGTTCCTGGTGTGACTTCTCCTTACCGGTGCTGGTGCTCGGAACACACGGCATTCAGTCCCAAAGAGTTTTCTAGGAGACAAAGGGGTACATCTGCACAGCAACATTATTTTGAAATAACTAGCATTATTTTGAAATAACTTAGTTTACGTGTAATGTTGAAATACTGTCAAGCTGGAGGACTTCTTACTCTGATTCCTGTAACCCTCATTGTACAAGGAGTAAGAGAAGTCGGAGGGAGGGTGCTCTGTTTTGAAATAAGTGCTGTGTAGATGCTCCCAATTTCGAAATAAGCGATTTCGAAACAAGCAATTGACATAGCTCAGCTCTCATTGCTTATTCAGAGTTAAGCCCTGTAGTGTAGGTGCAACCTAAGTCATGGTGGATTTATGCACTTTACTCCTGAGTTTAATGCTGGTGTGATTTTTGGACACGTAACCCAGAATAACCTTTCGTAATTCGGTGCAGCATCTTGAGGCTACCATGATCGCAAGGTGTTTTTCTGAGTGTTCTAAAGGGCTAGAGCTGTCGGGGGCTTGGAAGGAAAAGTCCTGTAGGACTGAGTAAGCATCCCTTCCAGAGAAGGATGACACCAAAAAAGCGTCAGTAGAAATGAAATCGCTGCAAAAGCCCGGGGACTGGAATGGCAAAGAGGACCTGTGCAGAACGTGACGCCCTCCTGTCGAGCTGTAACGCAGGGGGATCCTGCTCGCCTACGTTTCTGTTGGATTCTTCTAGAAAGGCTGAGGGCCAGACAATCAGGAATGTCAAGAGGGAGCCTGATAGCAAGAGGGAATTTCATGAGCTGTGTTTTCCGAATTCCAGCACGGGAGTGCACAGAAATCAGTTGCTTGATAGAACCAATCGCTTGGGACTGACATGCAGAAGGAGCCTTTAAAATAGCTTCTGGGCTCAGGACCTCTTGTTCTGTTACCACCTAACTAAATGACACTTGAATGGCCGGTATGAAAGAGCATGAAGTGGACGGACATTGCTGCCTCTGGGAGCGGATAGCTGCTTTGTGCATGCCCAATAGCAGTGAGAAAACAGAACCCTAACAATAGGTCACACTCCCTGTATGCTGGGTACTTGGGCAGCTGCTCAGGAGAGATTCAAATGCTGACCAGGTGATAAGCTGAGGGCCCATGTTTTTGTTGCTACTGGTGGTGCACATTTGCACATGCCTTGGTGCACATAAAATTATTCTGCACATGGATGAAAAAGATTAGTGGCTCTCTACCACCTGTGTGCTGCCGTTTGGATTAGTGAGAGGCCAAAACGGTGTAGAGACTTTGATGAACGTATGCCTGTTACAATTCGCACCCCAGTATTTCTGCTTGGCCAGTGAGGAAGAGGCTGTTCAGAAAAACCTACTGCTGTAGGTATTTCATTATGTCCACTTTGTTCATGCTGAATTGACTCGAAATTGAAGCCAGTAAACAATGTGGAGCACTAGAAAAGAGCATATTGTACTGGATGCAGTGTAATTAGCATGAGTTATGGAAGACTGTCCAATCGCGATGATCAGAGAGTTAACAAGCCTTGCTTAGCAGAAATTGTTTAGTCCCTAGGGCAGGATAAAGGTGACATTGCAGCCTTGTAAAACAGAAGAAGGCTTAGCAACAGGTGCTGACGAGAGCTATGCGCTAGATAAGCTCGTGGTGACGTGTTTTGCCTCTCCAGCCTAGTGCCAGGGAACAGAACTTACTTATTACAACAGGGAGCATTATATTGATCGGCTTTGCTATGCAGAAGTAGGTGGAGCTGCTTCTGTGCACTGGTGCCAAAAGCAGCATTTGCTACAGGCTCCAAAGGTGTCTAAGCCCTGGAAATGTTGGTATGCCCAAAGTTGTTGCGTGGTTTTGGTGTTTGTCAATGTTGGCGCTCTCTCATTTTGATTGCACTAACTCTGCTAGGTAGACATTTGACCTACTGTGAATTTTTGGCCACGTTGCTTATGAGTGGCCACCTCTACAGTAACAAAAAGCAAAAGCGCCTCTGTGGATAATGCACCTTCTTGGCGGAAAGCTGCCGTGGAAGTAAAGCTGCATTTTACTCCTTGCTGCAGCAACTCCTGACCTACTGAGTTTAGAGGGAAATTTGGCCTGAGTAGAAATAGCAATTCCTGCAGGAACAGACCCGGATGCAGCTATGTTAGCTTGATTCCTTTTGTGGTGTAGAATCCAGCTGTCTCTCTCTCAGCTTCAGCCTCATTATATACAAAATTAGCAGATTTACCTGGCTTTGCTCCAGTCCTTAATTCAGTTTTTTTTAAATAAAAGGAAAATGTACATGCTTCATTGAAATAATTGCGTTTTTCAAAAATAGTGTTATTTTTATGAAGTTAATGTGAGCACATTTTTTAAAATAGGAATTCCATCAAACGTATCTTTTTTTCTTCATCACTATAAAACGTAGTATGCTTTCACCAAAAAGGGCTGTAGTCAATTTGGTTCCAATAACATGGTCTTCTAGTTTGCAAACCTTAAGCACTGATTTAGCGGTGCCAAAACAGTGCTCTCCTCCCAATTTCTCAGTTTTCTCTCCTTTCCATAAGGTTTTATTGAGAAGCAAACCTATTGCAGGTTCATCCTATTTTTGTGGCTTGTCTTGGTTCAGTCTCTTTCAACATTTGCTCAGTTATGTCCGTTTGGAAGACTACATTTGCTTTGGTGATTCTCTCTTTTCTGTTTGGTTTTATGAGAAGCAATCCCATTCCAGGCATATCCCATTTTCCTGGCACAACCGAACCCTGACCTTGCTTTTAAGTTATGATAAGAGGAAACTGCATACTAGATTTGGTGAGCCTAGCTCTTATGTTTTGGAGTTCTTGATAAAAAAGACAGTCAAAATCTCTTAAATCTATAGTAGATGACATAACTTGCGTGGCTGAAGGACTGTGGCTCCTTGCAAGCTTCTGAAGAATAAAATCTTTTTTTTTAATCAGACCAGGATTGAAAAGATCATTCAACGTCTCTGCAACTTGGCCCAAGATGCAGGTCATTTCAGTAGGAGCTGGGGGACAATCTACCCCCAAAGGACATGTTAGCTGCTGCATGGAATCTCTGCAGATCAGAGGAACCTGTCTTTGTATAGGGAGTGGGAGAACCTTAGCAGCACAGTCCCATCCCAAACTTTTCCATCAGAAGAGGCATTCTTCCCCAGCGATGGTTAATACGTTGTTGTGAGATGTGTACCATGCTGCTATGAAGTACCTATTTAAAAGTCCTTGCCGTTGTGTGTTTCCTGCCTGTGGCTTAGGAGGCTGCCATATTCTGTTACTGGAGTTACTAGCTGACATGTAGCAATCCAGTGTATATGCATGCTCTGGGGTTTGTTTTTTTTGTTCTGTGTTCTGGATGAGATGGCAGCTGGATAAGGGACAGATTAATGCCAAGCCGGATGGTTCCTGTTCCCATTACTGTACATGTAGGGCAAAAACTAACTGACCCACACAAGTCCCACTAACCAGAAAGTAAAACCGTGCATGGTGTGTTTTCTCCTGCACGGGTGCAAAGTCACCTACAATACACCCTGCCTCACAGCCTGTCTCTAGGAAAAGTAAGGCAGTTCTGTTTTGATTTTGGTAGATAAACTTGTGCCGTGGAGGTCAGCTGGGAGAAGAGAAGAGGTCCTGATGAGACGCCAACATCAGGATTCAGGACAGGCGCTGGGAGGTGGTTTGGAAAAAAACCCCAAGCTATGTGGAAGAATGGATTTGTGGGCACCTACCACAGGGGGAATAACCGGAGGTGCTACATTGCTTTTACTACAGTATGTTCAAGTAGTTACTTCACCCCTCTGGCCCTGTGTTTGCTGTGGTATATGGGTGTGATGTAAATGTACTGTATGCACAGTCTGTATTTAACAAATGAGACGTGAGAACCCCCTTGTAAATGCTAACCTAACCAGATTTGTATGGAACCTGAATTTTATACCATGGGTTTTCCCGTTTCTAATTTATGCTGTTTTTATGTGTATAAAGTCTATTAAGCTGTGTCTTTGTACAGTATATACATAGTATTTTACCCATGCAGAGTATTTTTGCAGTGATAGGAGGATATTAGGGGGCTGTCCGCCCTTTCCCCCCGTTTATTATGTTTGAGCGCTACCAGAAGTCGAGTAATAAAGTCGCCGCACGTCAGTGGCTGCCCGCTGTGGGAGTTCTTGCTGTTCTTTGGGGGAGGATTAGTGGAACTGCTCCTAGTTTGGGTTTGGGCTGGTGGGGAATCACAGCCCGGTGCCTTCCGCTGCATGCTGACCTGCTGGTTCCCAACAATATTATTTCTGGAGGGGTTGTCAGAGCAGGGAATTGAAGGCGGCGGTGGCTGCTGCAGAACCTGGACTGACCTACCCCCCTGCCCAACCGCTTCTGGTTTCAGGAGTGCTGTGCAGGGTCTGGTCTCGGCTTGCTGCTGTGACACTGACCTGCTGCAGCCTCGGCCTAGTCACTTAACTTTAGCCCTGGATTCCCCGTTTGTAACATGGTGGCAATGGCCTCGATTCCCAGGTCTGCCAGTGCAGCCTGGAGAAGCAGGGCGTGGGGGTGGTTCGGGAACTGCCAGTTAATCTCGGGGCTGTGCTGCCTTGTGCCCAGGAGTTGTGTTCGTGGTCAAGATTGCAAGAGGGCACCAGGCTCTGGCTGTGCCCTCCACACCCCTTCTCTAAGCCAGCCCCAAACGCCCTGCCACCAGGCCAGCCTGCTGCGCAAGAGGAACCCTAGGCAATTGGGGGAGGAAGGGGCCACAGGCAGCAGGGATACCAACATGACGATTAACTGATACACCTGGGCTTATCAGTTAATCTTGTCAACTACACACATTTCCCCTCCCCCCCCTTGCTGCCTCTGACATGGGAGGAGCCGGGGGAGCAGGAGGCAGTGCCCATGAGGAGCTGGCTTTAAGCAGGCTCCCCAAAAACCTGGATCTGCCTGCCCCTTTCACCCCTGCGCTTCTGTTTCTGAGAGAGAGGCAGCAGTGTGGAGGGTGAGGGAGACAGGCTGGGGCAATATGCATGGGGAGCTGACTCCACAGACCCACCTGTCCCCCACCCTCCCTGCTGCATATAGAGGCAGTGAGGGGGGACAGGCAGGAGCCGGTTCCCCCCAGCACCAGCCCTGTGGTGCCACCTTCCCCTCCCCAGGCAGCCGGTCTACATAGGGAGCTGGTTTTAAACTGATGCCCCTGGTGGACCGACTCCTGCCTGCCACCCCAAGCTGCTACCTCTGACACAGAGGCAGCAGCTCAGGGTGGGAGGGGTCTCCTCAGGAGTGCACTGGCTGCCAGCCCCTCCCCCCCACCCCCCTGCCACCCCAGGGACTAATGAATAGTCGTGTAACTGCTAAGATTTCATGAGGTTACACAACTACTGAATTACACGATAACTAACATCCCTCTCCGGTAGTGCAGCCCCTTGCTCAAAGCAGGACCGATCCCGGTCCTCTCAGGCTGAGCTAACACTTGGCAAAGTGCGGAGAAGTACTGGGCATCATTCTAGGGGCTGAGGGTGGCAGCTGGCCTTACCACTTGTCAGCTGTTTACGTCTCTAGGAGGAGGGCAGTTCTCTCTCTACAATTCCCTTGTCTCTAGGGTACAGAGCTGGGCCACTGTCTTCATCTCTGTTATGTAAATTCCATATTGGTTTAGCTCTCGCTGGAGACAGGAATGACGACCGTGCGTTGCCAAGGGGAGTGAAAATTACCCCAGGAACGTCAGGGGGTGTCTGGCTCTCGGAGCCAACAGATCACAGAACCTCTACCACAGCCAAAGCTATACCTAGAAAAGTTAAATCGACTGCTTCCTGGGCCCCTTCCTCCCCATCTAAACCCATCCTCCCTCATCCCTGTCCGCAAGACCCTTCACGGCCAGCTTGAGATCGGAGTGGCACGGGACGTGCAGTTTCGTCTTTTGCAGCAATTGTCCTCCAAGCATGGGCAAGGGGCAGTGCCATAGACCAGGGCTTTGACCCAAAACTGCCTCGCCATCCCTCAGCCACAATCTAGATCCGTGGTTCTCCGTGGGCGGGCCTCCGGCACAGAGCCGTGGCACTTAGGGCTGGATAGGTGGGAGTGGATACAGCCCACAAAGGTAAAAGGGAGGAAGACCCCTGGGTTAGATCTACCAGCCCTCGCCACGCAGGCGCAGAGGTGATCTTTCCAACTTGCTCTGTCTCAAAAGGATGCCACAAGCCCATGCTGTTCTCAACACTGCTCTCTCTCAGGCCCATGCTGGCTACATGCGGACGCATTAGTCCTTCAAGTGGGTTTAGGCAGCCTCCAATTTATTTGCATACAGCACAGAACTGACCTGACAGCCGACTCCATGTGACCCTCTTGTCTACTGCTCCCCGTTAGTCCATTGCGGCTGGGCTAGAGCCGCATGCCTGACATCGGCAAACTGGGAGCTGTGGATTGCAGCAGGGCCTCGCTGCGGGATCCTGGGAGTAATCGGCCATCGAGACGTTATCCGTTGCGATATCCTGAAGAAAGTCTGCCAAAGCCCTAGTTATCGCAGGTAACACAGCCTGATACTCGCCAGCCCTCACGTCCAGAGGCACCTGCTCCTGCACGTCACGAGCCAAATTAAACACGAGCGGTGGTTGGTGATGCTCTTCCAGCCCGATGCTTCCGTCACAGGCTTTCGCCCCACCTGGAAAAGAAACCCAGCGAAAAACTCAAGTCCCTAGCAGCCATCCGTGCTGCAGTGTCATCACTTACCAGCAGATGTGGCAGCCTGAACACAAGCAGCAGGTACTTGGGTTGGCAGGGGCCTAGGCTAGCAGACCTCACTATGGCAAATGAGTTACTTGAAAACAAAGGAGACCAGTGCGTTTCTAGCACAGATCTACTCTTACACCTACAGTAGCTACCACCTTGCTGGACATGGCATCGCAATCTTGCAGCAGCCTGAAAAGCTTTGAGTTCTACGTGGATTATTCCTGTGACAGGGTAGGGAACAACCTGCCTAGCACCATTTACTATGCAGTGGTGCTGTATCGGCATCAGCCGTAGAAGTCACTGTCTGCTCTTTAGGAATCGCAGCAGAGGAAGGACAGGGAGCTAAATTACAATATCTGGCAAATAATAGCACGACAGCCTGCGGTAATTATAGCTCAGAAACCCTATACGGCAACGGAGACCTCCGCTGTGGCTGAACCCCCTCCAGCAAGGTTGTGCACAGGTTTGCAAGGGCTGACCGGAGTTTGACCCAGTTAGGAAATTAGAGCTTTTGCATACTCAACGGGCAAGGGAAGAAGAGCAAGGAGTCTTGCAGGCTGCTCTAAAAGGGAATCGAGCAAAGGGAAACGCAGCAACACAAGAAAGCAAAGGGAACCAAAGGTTAAAAATAAACGAGATGAGGAGGAACATGAGCAGGCCCAAAGCTGCTGGTAAGCAGAGACCCTAGGAGAGACAGCACCAGCTCTGCAGGGGCTACAGATGACATTGGAGAGGCCTTAAAATAGCAATAGGCAACCTAGGCTAGGGAGTGGGCCTCCTTCATCAAAGCGGGCCACAAGATTGTCATCATCAGGACGGTCTCCCGGGACGGGGCAGTTTTGCTCGCTGCACTGGTGTCGCTAGGCTTTGTAGGGTGCGCTGATTGAGCCGTTGACTGGCTGCAGAGGGAGCGTCCGGCTCTGAGTCAGTGTTGTGTACAATCCGCACGCACCTCGCGTCACGGGCCCTGGCTTTACGTCTGTGTCGCTTTAGTAATATGGGTAGGAAAAAAACGACGTGGATGGAAACCAGCAGACTCTGGCAACCCTGCAAATGTCTCATGGGCCACACACAGAACCCCCAGGGGCCCCGTGTGGCCCTAGGGCTACAGGTTGCCCACTGCTGCCTTAAAACAAGCCGACTGCTATGAAGAGGAGCAGGGGAATTGTGCACAGGGTCTGAAATTGGGGCAAGGGGCCCATTTTAATCATCCAGCCTTGGAGCACTTCCAGGGGGAGGTAAGAGTTTAAACGGTTCATCACTTTAGCTATCGGTTCCTGTTACCATGTAAACTCAGCTAGGGAGTGCGGGTGGGCAGCCCGGACCCCACAGGGCCAGCAGAGGCTGGGGGCCCAGACCCGAGTAAAGATGATCCACTTGCTGCAGTTGGCCGGGGCCGGGCCCAGGAGGGGCCCCCAGCACTCACTGCCTGCGCCACCTGAGGAAGAGGCTGTTCTGCTTCAGCCAGGAGCTCTACCTGCACCTCCGACGGGACTTGCACTTCCTCGTATGGGGCTTTGCGGGGGAAGAGCCAGGAGAGGCTGGCCAAGGAGCTCTGCTTCTACCCGGGACGTGCTGAACCAAGGCAGGTGGCAGCTGGGGTCTCACAGCCTGGACGCCCACCGAGCCCCTTTAACCACGCACGTTTCATCGGTTTCACGGTTAATATTTTGTAACATTTTTCACACCCCCTACTCCGGAGGAGAACGTTGTTCTTCTTGCTGGCCTCACAGCAGGTTCCTTCCTCCGTCACTTTTGCTGAGGTGCCCCAGGTGGCTGCTTCCCCAGCGTTGCATCCAAAGGTCTCCAGTATCCGTAGTTGTGACCCATTGCAGGTGCTGTGGCTAAAGCCCCCGTCCCCCCCACCTCCCCTTGCTCCAGGTCCTGATTCAAAGCCTGGCAGCATGCACCTCCCTTCACGCACATGGCTTGCTCTGCTGATGCTGAGGTGCCTTGCTGAATGTGGGGCTGAGAGGGGAAGCGGCGGTCAGCCCATGCACTGGGAGGCAGCCTCGCCTTTGGGAATTCACACGCCGCTTGGTCTGAAGCGGCTCCGAAGGTCGGTCACACTGGGCCACGAAGCCTGCAGGGGAGGAGCTCGTAGCTGGGGTGAGGGTCTGAGTGAGTTTGCAAGAGGCTACTGGTTTTGTGCTTATTTGGGCTCATCTGCCTGGATTTTTAAATCTCTCCTCAAGGGCACCTTGGCCTCTGGCTAAGGGGCTTTTCCCTATGCTGTATAAACTCAAAAACACTCTACCTGTAGTGTAAAATGCCTTGTATTGAGCCAGCCGTAGGGCCTTTATCTCTCCGTCCTTTCCCGCTGCTCCACTATTGGGGTGAAACAATGTCTACAAGGAAGAAAAAAAGGCAAGAAGTTAGGGGATCCCAGGTAAGAAGGTTTTGTCTGTTCCTGCCCTCAGCTCTGCACAGCCCCGAGGCCAGGCTGTGCATGCAGCGGCTAGCACTCTGCCTCCCCCCGCCGGATTATAAGTATGGAGGACCAAGCATGCTCAAAAAGTGAAATTCTGCGAAGGAAAAGTAAGAGTTGTTGACGTTTCTCTGCATTTGTCCCGGGTGAGAGGATGGCTTGCTGAGATGTCAGACTGTAAGAGCTACATTGTCCTGCATTTTGCTTCAGCTATCCCAGACTAACACGGCTACATTTCTATCACTAGACTGTAAGAGATCTGCTCGCCAAGATAAGACACTTCTCAGAGGGGTCGCCGTGCTCGTCTGTGTCTGCAAAATCAATGAGGAGTCCTGTGGCACCTTAGGCTATGTCTACGGTACAGAGTTTTTGTGCAAAAACCTGTGGAGTGTCCACACCTCAAGTGTGCTTTTGCTCAAGAAAATTTACAATAAAACGGCAGAACAAAGGGCTTTGTGTGGTGTACATATACCTCTTTCTACAAGGAATAACTCCTTTTAGTGCAAGAGTGGACACTGAACAGGGGCTTCTTGTGCAAAAAGAGCCTATCAGAAAAAGCACAGGTGAATGGCAATCAGAACTTTCTTGCGCAAGAGCATCCATGCAGTGTGGTCGCTGTCTTGCGTAAAAGCACATGGCTTTCGTGATGCACTTTTGAGGTCTGGATATACTTTTGCGCAAGAAGTTTTTGTGGAAGATCTCTTCCGCAAAAAGCTTCTTGCACAAAAACCCTGCAGTGTAGACAAAGCCTTAAAGACTTGAGCTTTCATGGGGAAAGACCCACTTTGTCAGATACATTGTCACTTAGACAAGTTACTACCTTCTTTGGATGTGCTATTACACATATAGCTCTACCTCTGTGATTTTTACTCCAGGCATCTGACAAAGTGGTTTTTACTCAGGAAACCTTGTGCCCAAATAAATCTGTTAATCTTTAAGGTGTCATAGGACTCCTCGTTGGTTTGCAAGGTAAGACACTGAATCTTGCTCCCTAGCTGTGTTTTATTAGCCCTTTCCAACCTTTTCTCTTGCATCTTGTTCCTTGAGGCAGGGCCCTTGGAGTCCCTTTCGTTCCTTGATGACTAGTGGCCAGGCACTAATTGTGCACTAGAGATTTCATCAACCATTTTGCCTGTTTATAACAACCCCTCCTGTTTTCACATCTCATTCTTAGCAGGGTTATCAACATTGGAACAAATACCAGACAAGCCAGAATGTAGCAGATCCTTGGAAAAGTTGCTAACACCCTTCGTTAGGCGACCGGACAACCCTACGGACATACTCTCGGCTTGTCTACGTTCCCACAATCCCCATGCAGCTGTTGCTGATGAACACTGCGCCCATTGCATTATTCCTGCTTGGCTTAAAACATGAACAGCTTGAACAGACACCTTATTTTTTCCTCCAATAGAGCTGTTAAAGATTTCAATACGGCCCAACAGAAGCTGCACTAGTTTCACTCCAGTCAAGTTAACTACTCTGTGTTTTCTACTCCGATACTAGCCCTGTTACACGAACTGTGCTATCGGGGCCTTTGAAAGAGAAGCGGCAGAACGTTTGGCGCTAGAGAACGGAATGTATTTAGCACGCAAGCTGCTGTTCTCCTGTAACATCCCCTCTAGACACCCTCCAGGATGCCTCTAAGAGAACAAGAAGCATTCTGGTCCTTCCTGCTATTATCACAGCTCTGCCAGTGGCAGGGATGTCTAAGAGATCTTTGCAGCAATGTGGGGCCAGCAACCAAGCCACAAGTTCATAATGACTTCATGTTTCTTAGATCATGCCCTGGAACAGCACTGTTCATCTCCACTGAGTCACTCAATCCGCTGGGGGGAAGTCCCTCTTCGCGAATACGGACGTATTAAGGGGAGCTAAGGTGACAAGGAGTGGATGGGGTGGAATCGTTCTAGTTCAGTTTGACACCCTGAATCCACCCTGGATAATCCCCGGGAGCCCAAATATAATTGCAGGGCTAAGTGAGCAGGGTGGGCCAGTCTGTCAGATCATCTCTGCTTGGAATCCTGCTGTTTCCATATGGAGATGAATCACGAGGTTTCCTCCGGGGGAAGGAGTTGAAGTGATTCATAAGGTTTCCACTGGGCTAAAAATTAGAAACAGCTGCTGAAGTTGGAGGCAGCTGTCTGGCCAAGCTTAGCACGAGCGTTCACAGCTGACAAGCAATACGATGCCTGAGCAGGTGTTCTGACCGTCTCCGGACCTCGTGCAACTTCAGCTGGGGAAAACGAGCAGACTCCAGCTGCAGGGGCCAGGTCCCACTTCCCCCGTATCCAAACTACAAATGACACGTGAGAACTTTTTTCCATTTTCAGAGAGGCGCTACTCTATTTCCCCCCAAAGGAGAAAAACAGGATCTTAACATTTTCATAGACAGGTTCCATGTGGAAAACATAAAAGGAACTGGGCCCAACTGGGCCGTGGCCACTCAGTGCGTTAGCTCCCTTTGACTCAACATCTGGTCTTCTCCCAGTTTGATGCACTTTTATGGAGCTAGGAGTCAACTGCTAGGGCTACTGTCTGTCCTCTGAAGTCCCCCAAAAGGGAAAGGAGGCCACCTGGTGCAGGGGTCGCAAATAAACAGACTGCCGGCTGGATGCAGGTTGCCAGGGTTAGCTCTTGGTGGGCTGCCAGATAATTTACCTACCTGAGCATCCGCAGGTACGGCCGCTTGCAGCTCCTGTTGGCCACAGTTCACTGTTCCTGGCCAACGGGAGCTGCAGGAAGCAGTGTGGGCCAGGCCCCTACTTCCCCACTGCTCCTGTTGTCAGATAACAGAGGCTGGTGGCCTGCCAGAGCCTAGCCCTGGGTGAACTGCGTCCGACCTACAGACCGTTTATTGCCCACCCCTGCCACAGCAGTACTTTGAGAAGACCATGTCAACAGGGAGCTGCTTCAAACAGCATGCTTTACGGCAGGTGCACAGTGCTCCTGGCAGGTAGCAGCAAGGCAGAAAGAAGTGTTCACCTACTGGAATGCAGGGCAGTCAGGCCTGATTTCTTCAGCTAGAGGACTCCCGTGCTGATGCTATGCTCTGCCCATATCGGCACCTTTCAGGCAAAGAACTCAAGGGCGCTGACACACAGATCCTGATACCATTTTGCAGATGAGAAACTGAGGCATAGTGAGGCTAAGCCACCCGCCCCCAAGGTCACACAGTGAAGCAGCAGCAGAGCTGAGAACAGTCCTGGCTCTCAAAGCCCTACGCAGCCAGGCCAAAGGGAGAACAAGAGCAGGCCTCCAGCACAGGCTCCTGCTATCCTAACAGCTCAGTCAGGGCCAGGGTGGCTGACAGGACTGCTGGATTCCTGGGCAATGGGGTGGGAGGTGATGGCTCCGAGTGGGGCTGGGGCAGCCAGGCTCCTGCACCACCCAGATGATGTGGCGCCTTTCCTGCCGGCCGGAGCGCAGAGTGTGGGGCTCCAGCGGTGATTCTAAAGGGCCTAGTAGCAGCATTGGCAGCCAGGAGTTCGAGGCCCTTTAGAATTTCTGGGCTCCGGGGCACTGGCCCCCTTCACCTCCTCCCCCGCCTCCCGTCAGTGCCATCCCAGAACAGATGCTAACAGCAATTCCCCAGGGGCAGCTATAAATGCTCATAACATCTAGCATCCTTCCGGCCCCGCTGCCCTCTGAGCAGCTGCAGGAGCGGAGATTATCACGAGCTCAAGGTATTTCTGGGGCCCTCATCACCATGGTACCCTGGCCTGGTCCCATTATGGGAGCCTTTATGTTCAATTGCTCAGCAGCGCGCCAAATCCCCTCCCTCGGCCTGTCCTGGCTCTGCGGAGCTGCCCATGGAAGGCTGTTACCAGGAGAGCTCAGGCTCTGGAATGTTGATTAGCGCTGGCCTTTTGCAGGTCCCAGCCTGTCCGAAGAACGGAGCAGGGGCGGGAGACAGGAAAACACGTTGCTGAACAGCTGCTGGTTTAGCAGCATGCAGTGGGAACAAGTGACAGCCCCTCAGAGGAGCCAATCAGTGCCCTGGGCCATGGCCTCAGGCCAGGGCACATCACGCAAATGCTGCCTCTCATCTACCCTGCCCCTTCTCCTTTCCCACCCAAAGGGAACATTCCTTACCCAAGCGGCGAGGAGTCCTGTGGCACCAGACTAACCGAAGTGTTGGAGCATAAGCTTTAGTGGGCAAAGACCCACTTTGTCAGATGCATGACAAAATGGGTCTTTGTCCACGAAAGCTTATGCTCAAACACTTCGGTTAGTCTATAAGGTGCCACAGGACTCCTTGCCGCTTTTGCAGATTCAGACTAACACGGCTACCCCTCTGATTCCTTACCCAAGGCCATCCCTTATCCTGCACGCTCCTCATGGCACGGTGCAGCCTACAGCCCCCTTGCACAGGTATAAACAGCAGTGTAGACAGTTTAAGTGAGCAGAGTAAAGACACGCCAGAGCCTTAGGGTATGTACCCAGCATGTGCATACAGTAATTACTCGTTTAACACATGCCTGTTTAACACGTTTTTGCAATAGCACGATTTTTTTTTAGGGAACGTTTTTGGAATAACACGACCGTCCCCGAAATAACACAAAAATAATCAAGTGGCGGATTACTTCGCACGGCAGTATAAGTTGGTGAAAACAGTGGTAATACGCATGAGCGGATGAATACACATGGTCACAGCGCTCCTCCGCTCACTCATGTGTTTATCTTTGTGTTTTAACAAACCGCGGCGGCAACTTGCGTTGCTAGTTATCATAGAATCATAGAATAATAGGACTGGAAGGGATCCCAAGAGGTCATCGAGTCCAGCCCCCCGCCCGCAAGGCAGGACCAAGCTCCGTCTACACCATCCCTGACAGATGTCTATCCAACCTGTTCTTAAATATCTCCAGAGAGGGAGATTCCACCACCTCCCTTGGCAATTTATTCCAATATTTGACCACCCTG